CCAGCCAATCTTTTTTTTCAGTGGATACACTCGGAAACAAGAAGCTCGTATTCCTCGTGAGATTCGTGAGTCCTTAATTTCTTTTCTTCTATCTCGCGGTTTGTACACATTTAATTCGGCGCAGCGCGATCCCACTTCGATTGCACCTTGGCCGCATGAAAACGCGTATACATCGGGAAACACGGCAAATACAAGCAGTTATAAAGATAACGCGGAAGGGCCCCGCGTCTATAATCCCCACTTATCGCTGAATTTTTAATTTGGCGAGTTTTTATCACGGTCGTGCGCTTTACGACGTCTTTTTCTGGTCCATTTAGCAACGAGGTAACTCCCTCGCTTCTATTTTCTTGAGAATCCCGAATCGCATATAGAGACAAGCCTGACCAATAATACCGTACGGTCTAACGATAAACGGAGCTACACGAAAGCATTGCCTATACGAAAGCATGAGCAATAAAGGGTAAAATGCCAATATAAAACAGGTGAATTCGTCCCGAATATCCGCTTAAGCCGAACGGAATTTTGTAATTACTGTAAGATGATGATAAAACGAGCACGTGTTTCTTAACTGTTGTGTTGTTACAAGTGTTATCATGTTAATAAAAGTACAGAGGAAGTCCGAGTGATGAAAGAATAACGACACACAAAATAGAGGCATGTGAGCAAACCTTCATTTTTATTAATTATACTGTTCAAAAATGATTTTTTTTTTTAGTACAGGAACGAAAGTAATCATTTCCTATTATAATTTTTTGTGAGTACTGAATATGTAATTTTAATTGCGACAAAATTTGTTCAACACGTCATAAATTGTAATCATAATATACCAAATTATATTAAAAATTGCAGCTCTTTTTGCAGCTTGAGCAGTCAAAAACAATACTATCATCATTAAGTAAATAGTTTATACATATCATAAAAAATATAGTTACACTAAGAAAAAAAAGTTGAAAGTGACATTTTCTTTGATATTTATTGATTATAAAAAATTTGACTGTGATAATGAAATTGTAGCTCATTAATTGTAAAAAAATAAAACAAATTATTGGTTTATTTGCTAGGAATAACATTTTATTTTCCTATTTAAATATAGTATAAGAATTTATTTCAGATGAATAAACATATCTCACGAATAAATTTTTAAGTATCTTTTTCTCAGTGTAAATTTTATATCACAAAAAGTTAAATTTTATACGTCTTATCTCATAGTAAAAATAAAAAAAAGGGGGATCAAAGATATATGTACTACGGGCACTTTTCTAAAACACGTATGAAGTAGTGGAGGATATTTTACGACTTTCTCGGAGCTATTTTTGCGAATGAACTCCTCCTCGTCCGATGAAAGATTCAAGTATTCGAATATCATCCGTCATCGGATGATATCGTAAAATCGTGAAATCTCGTCAATCGTCGACGCGGCAGCGAGAAAATTGCAGCGCGCATTTCATATTCTAGGACGTGCGAAGAGGTCGTTGAAAAAGCGCCTCTGATAGGCGGCGGAGGAGGAAGAGGAGGAAGAGGAGGACGAGACAAAAGATTAGGCCGGGTCCTCGAAATCGGGGCTTGATGGAAGTGGGAAACAGAAGTACCCCACGCACACGCATTCTCCCGCGTGGACGGACTTTCCTTTCACTCTGTACAACCCGAGCTCCATCCGCGTGCGTGTTGTGCGTGTATGCGCGCGAGCGCGAACGTGAGCGTGAGCGAGTGCGTGATACGTGCGTGCGTGCGTATCTGTATGTGGGTGACGTCACTAAAAGCTCTCTCGCCGCTAATGCATTTGCGGAGGGGGATCCTTGGAAGAGGGGACAGGAAGGAGGTGGCGCCAGTGCCGTATCTATGGAGCGTGAAGAATCGATGGCGAAATCACGCCGATGAATTCCCGTCGTTGGCGAAGCCACGAGATGATCGGCTGGAGGAAAAAAAAAAGGTAACGCGGAGTCTGCTGTAACCATACGGTTGAAAGCATGAATCTTCGCACTGAGAGAGATGCGGCTGTGGCCACGTAAATAACGGGAAAAAATTCGAGAAAAAGAGAGAGAGAGGAATTCCTATTACAAATTCCAGATAAAAGCATGAAAAATGAATGTGAGTTCCGTATAACGACTTTTTATATTTCTTTGATAGATTTCATCGTGTCTTCTCTTGTTGTTGCACAGAGATACCACACGCATACAAAACGCCGCGCATTTGCGCAAAAAGGAACAAAAAATAACGATCGATCGCAGTAATTATATTTGTCGTTTTGTAATTAACTGCATAAAGCACTCAATATTTCATCGACATGTAGATATACAAAATGACACAACGCCAGACGCATGTAAATCGAATTAAACCGAACTATATTGTTTTGCTAACCGCGCACACCAAGCCGTGATCAAATATTTTTAATTAATTGAGCCGCGAATCCGAATGAAAAAGAATAAATATATATATATATTAAAAAAAAGTGAAATTTATATATTTTAAGTCTTAGTAATAACTAATATGACCTAAATTTCAGAAAGAGAACCTTCAAAAAATAATATCAAAGCACAGAGACAAAATATCTATTGTATATAATTTCAATCAATTATATAATCGTTGCTTAATTCATGATTTTATTATACAGAAAATTTTTTATTGACGTTTGATTATGATATCGTCACTATTGTAATTATCTAAATCGACATCGATAATAGTAGATCCATGATTAATCCTTCACCAATAATGCGCAGTCTTTTAAGTCACGTCGGTATTTTTATTGTAAATTTTTAAAAAATAAACAACGAGATTTGGTATCGCCTCTTTAAAAAAACTTGATATTTAATGTTAAGATTGTGTATGTACAATGACGTCAGTATCCACTTTGTTTCATTGCAACGATGAAATCGTCTGTGCCCTCAGCAACCCATATACAAATCACGTAAAATTTTGTGTAAATAAAAAATTTGGATAATTTTTTCGTGTTTTATATCTTTTCGTGACGCTAATTTCCAAAGTATAGAATATAAATATATAAGTATATAAAGAAATATATGAAGAATATAAGTACATATAAAGAAATTTTACTTTTAAAATAGATTTTTTGGTATTTTACGTCATTTTTTACTTATGTAATTGCAAAAAAATCAATATTTATGGAGATATATCAGACAAACATAATTCACAAAATACTCGAAATCACAAATTGTGATAAAAAAATTCACATTACTTGGTGGAAGGTTAATAAATGCAAATTTAGCGTATTGCTCGAATGCGATCATTGTTGCTATTAAGATTGATATTTTTGTACAGCTTTTCTATTATTCAAACTTCAAGTTCGTTTCTCGAAATTAGTATATTGTATTTCTTTTATTTATCGGGGAAGCAATACATGGCTAGTGCGACACTCAAACGAGTTCGAAAAGCAACCGCGTGACATGAAATCATGGATCCCCGAGATTCTTAATCCTTATTTTGACAAGTCGGACAGAATGGACAGGATGACAGGGACACGTCGTCTTTACCGTCATCCCTTTCTTGTCCTCGAAACGAGATAAAAAAAAGAGAAAGTAAAAGAGGGAGAAAGAAAGAGACAAAACAAGCTGTAATCTACATGCCTATCTAACACATTAGCTCGCTTTAGAAGACGATGCTCGTTATGTTCGTTTGTGCTTGTTCGATGCAGATATCACCGTGTACTTTGACTCGCGTCCTTATTAAATAAACTTTTATTTGTAAGACTTTCAGACAATTGATGGAAACAAGCAAATAATGCTACTCATCTATTTTTCTAAAGATTGATTTATGATATGATTCCACACATTACTTTTTTAAATAAACCAATCTCTATAAAAATGGACGGGTAAAATTTTCTTGTAACTAAATATAGAATGGAATTTCGTTGTCTATTTAATTACAACCGAATTACAACCATAATCCGAAGCTCATTAATGCTTTGACATTGATGATTAGTAGAAAACAAGAACTTTTATTGTTACGATCATATTTGAACACAAGTCAAAAATAAATTAAGATATATCGCGATTCATTTTAAATTAAAAAATTAATTCTTTTTTATTTTTTTTTTAAATTATATGTATAATAATATAAATTGATAAATAAAATATTTTGAAAGCTAGATTCAAAGATTCCTATTCGGATAAATTGGTTCTCTTCTTCCCAGAGGGCAGCACTTACCAGATAAAATACCGTCGATACCGACTCAAATTTTATATAATATGAAGTTATATTATAATTATATTAATTTTATATATTATATGAAGTTATATTCAGAATGCAAAAAAAACGGCCAATTCTAAAATTCTAAAATCAGAATCTCTTACAGAAATACAAAAAAACTAACGTGAAACCTGTATCATGTATTGGAGATTGAGATCGACTTCGGTCAAATTCAAATTAATTTAATCAATGATTAATTTATCAAGTAAAATATTTGTAATATCTTAATGTGAAAAACTATCAATTTATTGTCATTAATTTTTTGACAGACGAAAAGAAACATTAGATTAGGTACAATTTTATAATAAAATTTTGTTTTAAGCAATTCTATTGGTTAATTATGGGTTAATTGATATCATTCTCAAGATTACGAATTGAAAATTAGATTTCAAATAAAAAGGACAAAGTAAATTAAAATTAAAATTACCTAATTGAAATGTGATCTAATCCAATTAGTGCGAAATCTAATCTAATTTTTCGCATTTTAATTTAAAATATTTAAAGGTATTGCCTTAGAATTCATTAGTATGACGAAGAAAAATCCAATCGAATAATATATTAATATTTAATAATTCTGGTGTTGATACGATAAAATTAAAAAATACATTAACGAAACACAGAAGTATCGAGAGAGTATGACTTACATTTAAAAAATGAAATACTCTTATGATCAATATAATGTACAGTTAATTCAGGCTCGGTTTTTTTCTTTGTTAACTTATGATTAGGTTTAACCTGATGCTTTATCCCCAATGAACTTCATCTGTGTTGATGTCATTGGATGAAACATCAGATTGAGCTCAACCACAAATTAATCAGATAATGAAAAATTAAGCTTTAGAATCATTTGTTTTTTTTTAATTTGAAATTAGGTGGAATTATCTACAAGGAGTACATCATACAAGCAATTCAAAGAATTCAATAATCACGTATTATTGACTTCCTTAAAGTAAATAGGAACTTACCTCTAAACGTTGTAGAAGTAGATCTAGTATAACAAGAATTTTGTTGCTTAATAAAATAGCTTCTGTGCTTTCCGTGTTTCCACTGACCCCTGCCTTGTAAACTCGGCACAGCGATGTAATCACTCTAAAAGATTTTATATACATGTGTAAAATATCTCACAATATATATTAAAAAGTTTATTATACTTAATATATAGTATACTTACTTATTCGGTAAAATGTGAGATGCATTTTGTGTATTTAAACCTAAATTCAATAAATTCGTTAAAGTATCAAATCCATTCAAATATCTGAAAGTATCTTGATCAAGTGGACACTGAAATAGAATAAACGGGACATAATTATATTGAAGTAATGTAAAGAACAGAAAGAATGTTATTATCTCTATAGAACCTACCGATTTGGAGAACGCTCGAACAATTTCCCCTAAGCAGCGTTCCAAAGTAGCCAATGCTATGTTTGACCATGCTGATTTGGAATGATTATTATATAATCTGTCTAATTCTTTCAAATTCCGCCGAAATTTGGCTTTATTGGCCGATTCGACAGATAAATTTTGATTAGTCTCACTTTTATATTTATCTTCCCATTCCTGTCCGCGTGAGCTCATGCGTTGTTTTATCTTTCTGCACCGGCGTTTCAGCGCTTTTTGCTTCTCTTTCACAGCCTTGCTATTGTTTGCGTTATTATTATTAACTACGGTGACAGGAACGTCCCGTATCTGTGCAATATTAAAACGCTGAAGTTCATCTCGCGATGGCTCACGGTTATCATGCGCGTTTCGTACTGCCTCAAGATGCGTCTTTCCTTTCAAGTGACTTAGAAGATGCACTTCATTAGATATCTGTAAAATACACAAATGCAATAAGTCTCGTTAAAAAGAAAAAAAGATCACGCTGCGTAATTATGCGGAAAGCTTACAATTGTGCCACACAGAGAACATTGTTTTTGAGCAGGATACGATTTGAGAGTAGGTGGCACTTCCTCCGATCTTAAAATTGACGATTCAACCGCACGTTGCCGAATGTGCTCAATGTTTTCCACATGCCGTCTAGCGGATTCTTGCTGTTTTTGCGCTATTTTCTTCTGTAGCTCTTCCTGATTAGCCAGTTGAGCTGCATGAAGTGCCGACAAGCGTTCTTCGCGATCTCGTGCTTTTTCTCTCGCTAGTTCCTACAAAGTTAAAATTGGTAACTTAAAAATAATACCTATAAAAATGAAGATATCTTGATGATATATAAAGGATAATAATTTACATACTTGTCGTTCTTTTTCTCTTTCAAGTTGCATTTTGCCAACCCTTTCCTCACGTTCTCGTCGTGCCTGTTTCATTTTTTGTATTCGTAACTGCCGCTCTGCCTCCAAAGCCCTTCGACGTTCTTCAGCTGCAGCTTCTTTGGCAGCTTTCTCCTCTTGTCGCCGTTGACGTTCTTCTTGAATACCCTGTACAGTAAACCCCACTTGTTAAAAATATAATAGTAATATGTGTTATGAGAATATTATATATAATTCTACAGTTTAGAAAAAAAATCTTAAATTTTTTATTAAAAATTTTATTATTAAAACATCGTTATCTTTTGAGGAACACATATATATACCTGTAATCTCTCTTCTTGTTCTTGACATAATGCCATAAAATCGTGTCTCTTATTTTGTGCCTCCAGTTCATTGATAAAAGCTATTTCCTTCAACTTCGAATCTTCATCATGTGCTTTTCTTACTATTTCTAACAAATGTTGTGTTCTGTTTTCTTCTGCCCTCTTAAGTTTCATTTCCATTCTGATTCTTTTGTCCTCTATTAACTGATTCTTTGCACTTTTGACGTCTTCCACTTTGTTCAATAATTCTCGCAACCGTTGCGATTTCTCCATAAGTAGCTTTTGACGTTTGTGTTGAGCACATGCTTGTTTTGCTTGATATCTTCTTAATGTTTCAGGAAGCGATCTTTTTCGTGATGGAGATGAAAGTTTCTGATGCAGTTCTAAAGCACGTCCGGGATGGCGAGCTACTAATGCACGCAATTGTGCAAGAGTATCGACTCGTTCCGCCCAAGACATTCCTTCTAACATATTTCCATACCTGTATTAATAAATATTCATTGTGTTAAACTTTAGTAATTCTATCAAGACACTAAACAATACACTATGCATAACTTTTATATACCTATCTTCTAAACTAATATCATCAGTGACCACACTAAGCGGTACTGCAGGCTCGTCTTCCATTTCGAGAACCATTTCACCATCCGTTTCATCTGTTTCAGTGTCAATATCAATTTCGGTGGACTCCAACTCCAAAATCTGCCGTTTTAAGGACGCCTCTTCATCTGATAGCTGTTGAGATCTTTGAGAATCTGCTTCTTCCGTCTTCCTCTCTTCCTCTAAGATAATTCTTTCCCTCTCTGCCTGAGCGGTCATAAACTGTTGTATACGTTTCTCAAGTAATTCTGCATCATTCTTAAAGATAGCTGCGATTACTGATGTCGAATTAGTATCACACAAACTTATTGTGTTCTTTTTAAGTGTGTCTTCAAGATTACTCTTAATCGTAGATGTTATGTATTCTCCTTTAACTTTCTCAACCTCATTATTCATATTTTTGCCAGTTTTACCTACAATACATTTTTTCTTTTGTTTGTTTTCATCAGGAGTGTAATTAGTTTTCTTCAGCTTCTCTGATGGACTTTCTATTGATAGAGCTGGTAAAGATAGAGCGGTACTTGGTTTATGAAAGCGTGTAGACATATTCAAGTTATGAGTGCTTCCTCTTCTGCAACGGTTTCTTACTGTTTGCCAGCCATCGCTTTCATCTTTTAACTTTGGAGATACTGTTTGCTTGGTTAAAACTTCTACTGATCCGTTCATGTCTCTATTTTGATCTTTTTTTAAAGTATTTTGTTCTGATAACTGAAAAGATATATTATATTATTTATACACAATATATTTAAATTAGATTATTAATTTAGACTGAAAAAATATATATTCATAATAAAAAGAGGTAAGCTAATATATAATATCGATAAAAAAAAATTTACTTTATATAAATACATTACTAACCATAAATTAGTAACAAAATCACAAAAAGTTTCACATAAACAAAGCAATTAATAAAACATAAAAAAATATATATATATGCATGTTTTGTATAAATTCTCAAACTTAAATTCTACTTTTACTGTATCTATAATCTTATAAACAATATATAATAGTTTAATAAATATATTGAATTATATAGAATACCTTATTTTCAGGAGTTTGAAATCGTCCTCTCACAATAACAGATGTTCCAGGCCTTCTTTTACTTGAGGCAGATAAATTTTTATCACTTAAACAAGTTTTACTTCTAACAAACTTTGGAGTTTCGGAAATTGACGACTGTTCTTTGGATCTTTTTGTCTGCGACACTGTTGAATAGGCTGGTCTATCTGTGCTAATTATCACAGGATTTTTATCAATGTTGTTAGATGATGCATTCTGAATATCTTTAGTACTTGATTTATCGCCAATTTGTTTATTTATTTGGCAATCAACCTGATTTATCTTTTCTGAAGTACTCTGAACAATGGCTGTCTTTGTACTTAACTTTTCAGCATTAACATTACTTTCGAACTTTCTATTACTATCTTTTTTAACTTTGGTATTAATTTCATTCTTTCCCAATCCGTTATTTTTATTATACGATAATTTGCTATCCATACTTTTTCCATCTGTCTTACCATCCTTAACGTTCACTCCATTATATTCCTTTTGCATAAGTTCACAATTAGGACATGAACTCAGCTGAACATTTTTATCACTTCTACACGTTTGTTCTCGTTTTTCTACAGATAAATTAGAATCAACTAGTTTTACAATGTTGCTATGCAAACAGTCCTTTGTTTGTTTAGAAATATTTTTGACGTCCATTTTATTCTTCGAATCATACGTTACACTATCAATTAATGTCCTACGATCCACAAAGCTATTAGTTTTAGATTGTACTGTTTGTTTCACAAGAACTTTGTTAGATGTTTTCGTTGACATGGATTTTTCCTTATTTGCTATTTGATTTCCTGTCTTATCTGCTCCATTCTTACGTTTCTCTTTAATATCGGAAGAACAATTCTTGCAAACATTGTTTTTACTATCTTTTAACAATTTATGGACAAATTCCTCTTTAGCATGATTAACTTTATTGTCTGTTACAATCGGTTTATTTTCACATATGATTTGGTCAACTGGACTTTTGCAAACTGATTCTGTCGGACTTGATCTCTGCAAGGGACTAGTGGACTTTGGAATTATCGTTGAATTCCACATCCGACAAGGAGATGTTTTCCTAACTTCCCAGGCCAATGGAGTTCGTCGTAACGGTGGTGCTGAATTTTCATAAGCCCACTTAACTTTAAACCATTCTATTAAATTATGGAAGTCTCGAGTATAATTTTCAAGCACTAAAATAACTTCTTTGCACTCAGAGATATTTTCATCTTCATCGCACGTTTGATAGATACCATCGACTGCTCTTTGTAAATTCCCAAATAGAAACGCCCAGTACCGTGCCTGTAATTCTAAATAGACAGTATACGCTTAATTAAAAGTTGAATAAACAACATAAATTGCAAAGATTTATTTAACAATTAACGATATTCTAAACATCCATTCTGAATATATATATATGTATACGTAAAAAAGCAAGAAAATTGTCTTACCAGACTTTTTATCACGACCTGTAGAAGCAGACCTTACTCTTGTGGTTGGTTTCATGGATCGCTTTGTCGAACTTGATTGTATCTGTCTTGGTACACTGGGTGGTTTCTTTGTAATTTTCTCTACGTTATTTGTGCCAACGGGTACGTTAAAGGCTACTAAGTTCCTGGCTGCACGACCCTCCTCTTGTATGAGCAACCTGACATCTGCCATTTTTCATAAATTCCTGGAATAATGATTGACGATATGTGAGATAGGCAGATCTTTAACCCTACAAAGCTGATATAGATCCCACTCAATTATATCCCTCTAGAGCTGACGGTGGGTCTATTAGACTCATTTATTTATTTTTATATTATTTATAGTATATTTCAAGTTTGTATCTTGGACAACATCCTTGGACAGCAATAATTGTGGATAACAAAAATTCTGATAAGTAACAATAATTCAGCTTTAATTCTCTGAAATATTGTTAAGATAAAATATATATCATTATATTTGAATTTACTATTACTTCTTATATATATAATTCTTGTATCTATTATTATCACAATTGCCACTTAAACAAAAATAAAACATTTCAATTTTCTTACAAATTTAGATTGTTCTTATTAAGATAACTTAGTATTCATTCTTTTTTTATACTTTATATTAGTTACATCATTTTGATTCCTTGAAATTAATTAGTGCCTCTTAATTAACATACGTTAAATAGATCTCACAGATCCATGTCAGTAACTGTAGGTCTGTTTTTTTATTCCTGCAATAAACTACACTAGAACTCTCTTGCTTTCACAAATGTCAAACATATACCTATCTCACTTTACGTTCCAAAAGTACACTAGTTCAGCCACAAAAAGAAACAGATCTTATGTTACAAATTACGGCATCAGCTCCAGAGGGTTAAAATTGACAAACACGTGGCTATTTATCAAATGCGATTTGATAAAGTCATGGTGAAAGAAACCCTGACTTTAAATTATAACTTTAACTATGACTTTAATCATGACTTTAAGTCATGATACAGTCATGAGTAAAGTTCAGGAAACATTACAAAGTGACATATGTTATAATTCGCATTAAAAACCCGACAATTGTGTACAGAGTGAAATAACAGCGGCAAGCATTCAGAGTGCGAGTGGATAGTCTCGCGCGATCACGAGGCTCCGAAAATAAATCAAGGACCCAATCATCGCACTGGCATTGTAACAACACGCTTTACGAATGCCACTATGTTCAGCTCGAGGTTATATACCTAACGCAACGTACGCGCGAAGCTGAGAGATGAACGCGGTGTTTGATGGAGTGACGTTTACGCGACGACGACGTCGTCAGCTGGCTGCGACTAAACGTGCGGTCAGCAGCGAATTACATGAAAAATCGCCGCTACTTGCCGACGACGAGATACCGTTCTGTCAAACGACGTGAAGTGAGTTACGTTCTCTGTGTCAGTATCGCGCGTGACCCACCTTCCAACCCGACGATTACGAAAGATCGGTGGACGGCCGCCCGCACCTCGCGCGACTACTTCTCGCGAGTGACACTTGAGAAACGACGCATAATAACATCTTATGAAATCATACGTCAAAACGAATAAACATAGACCTCATGAATTCCGCAACTGTTCATTGGTCGCACTGCTCGCGATGGCATCGATGGCACTGACGATGGCGATGATGGCTGCACTGGAAACAGAGAGGCTCTTTGTTCTTTTTACAATTAGCTGAACTTCTTGCACCATTTATCTTTCCTCTTTCTCTTTCCACGTTGAAGAGAAAAAGAGGAAAGTGAACGGTGCATAAAGTTCAGCTGACAAGAATGGACCAATAAAAGAAGATTGTGAAATAGTGTAGAGAGAAACGTGGTATTACTTTTCTGTAGCTGAAGATTTTTATATATTTTTAATTTTTCCCCCTTTTTCTTCTTAATGACTAATTGTATGTCTATTGCATATATCTATTTCATTTTAAATACAAAAAGCAGAGTGTAGAACTACAATTAAGGAAACCTTACAAGTTTATTCTTCATAGCTAAACTTTTTGGTCTTTTTATCTTTCTTTTTTTTGCTTCTATTATATGCATACCAATTTTTTATGCAAAAAGTAAAAATATATCTTCATTTTGAAATGTCAAAAGTAAAATAAAGTATAGCCGTCTCACTCTACCTTATTGCACCAGTATTCACCAGAGTCCAAACTCCAGAATCTTAGGGTGAAAAAAGAACAGACCTAAGAACAATTACACGAATGAAGATGAATGAAGATAATTTTTTGATACTTCAAAATGAAGAAATAACGAGAAAATAATACTATGGATTTTTTAAATCCAATTAAAGGATTTTACAACTCATGAATTTACATTTCCTCTCTTAAAATAGAAATTTTTCAAGATACCTTGCAGTGTAACATGTGCTACTGTATTAGATTTATAGTAAACTAAATATATTAACGATGGAAGTGCATGGCATCGATGAGGAAGACGAAGATGTTGTGATACAAGTATGATAAATCCATTCCTTAAATTTCTTAAATTCGCGTGATTTAAAAAAACCATATTTGTTGTCCTAAACAAAGGAAGTTACGTTCATACATATTTTTTTGCCACTTTCCACAAAGCTAAAAATATTGGAAAAAAATTGATAGTGGCTCTTTTTCAATTTAATTAAGCGTATAATTTTCACTTTAGAGACATATTGATTTAAACAAGCTGCAGAGATAATTATAGGTTAAGAATAATGACAAGAACAAGTTTAGAATAACAGGTTACAAATAATGTATAATAATTAAGAGAATAATGAAGAACAATTATTCCCAAAAATTTAATATTTTTATCTGTATTACAGGGTAGTGCTCTTCATGAGCATCTTTCAAAATTAGGTTACACAGACTTTGAAACTGTACCTGTGTCTAAGAAAATGGACTTCAAACGAGGGAATTGTTTGAATATTGTAATAAACTTTTATATTATATATAAAATACATATACAAGAGATTGATAAATTGTATATAATATTTCTATGTATATAACATCTCTAATCTTTTCAGGATATTAAGAGTACTGTGAAAAAGATTTATACAAAATTATTTTCTCTTTATTCTTGGATAACACAGGTATTCGATTTTTAACAAGATTATATAGGTACGTTATATGTATTTGTTTCCTATAATTTGTTTTTTATATTGTTTGTAGGAGAAGAGCAATTCTGAAAAACAATTGAGTATCATTTTGAATGCAGAGGCTTTATTAAATGACCATTTTTCTGTAATTAATGGCTTTATAATCAAATGCAATAATAATTCTAAAAGGTAATTATATATATATAGAATAAGTCTAATAATTTTTTAAGTTATAATCATAATTTTTAAATTATTATAGAAGCTATCGAAAAAGAGTTTGTAAATCATTTTTGTGCTAAAATGTTTATGTTATATTTCTTACTTTCGTAGAATTTGCAAAATATGTGACTGATTAAAATTGATGTTTTTCATTTAATAAAAAATGAAATTATTTATTTTATAGAATAACACTGCAAGAACTAATTATGGCTGGAGCTGTATTAATCTCTTCAACATACGTTTCATGGTGTAAATACAAGATATTGCCAACATTATTTGTATCATTTGCAATTTGTTGCGTCGGTTATATGAAATATTTACGTTTTTATGCAACAAGAAATCTAAAACATGTCATATTATCACAAAATGAACTTTTTCTCACATGTAAAGACGGCCTTAAGATTTTACGACGTGATTACAAAATGAAATTGGATTCTGAATCATGTCTTCAACAATTTTCGTAAGTGTACAAAATCTGTATGAATTAAAAAAAATATTAATATTTTATATGTGTACATACACAAAGATTTAGATATAGACACTATTGTTATCCTATTTCTGTTTGTTTGTATTAGTCATTTCTTAGGTGAAAAGGTGCAGCATCTAGAATGTCTAAAAGATGCTTTAATAAAATTTATGGAAAATATTTCCTATCTATATTACAAATGTTCATTGTCAATCGTAAAATTACTGCCGCAAGATGCACTTAGCGAAGAGCTATTTACAAAATTCGAGTGTAACTCATTTGAAACATCTGGTGAAATCAACTATCAAACATTAAAGGTAAATAAATAATGAAATTCTAATATATATATTTTACATTAATTTTTACTTTTTTAAATATATTTTTTTATAGAGATTGTACAACACTTATCTTCTGGTACAATCAGAAATGTTATATTTATTAGCTATTGCATATGATAGCAATACTTGGATAAAATCCTGCCAGAAGATTCCTGAAACAGAATTAGCTCGTATAATTCATATTTTAACTAAAGAATTGGCAGTATATAAAGTTAAATTGTCAGAAATGGTTAATGCGTATCGTACTTGCAAAACAGAACCAGTTCGATATAAGTAAGTTGAAAGATATGTTTATTCCAATTGTATTTATGTTTATTACAATAGTAATATATTACAAGAGATTTTTTTATTAGAACCCAGAACAAAGCTAAATGGCACGATCCAACTGTCCAATTGGATTTGGCATCTTATAAACTGCAATTAGCCTATAATCAAGTTTTTTCAACGTTTAAAGATATTAATGATTGTATTAATCAGGACATTGGTATCGATAATGAAACAGTTGATACACTGATGCAAAAGTTAGATAAAGCGTTCAAGGAGATCGACACGGCTAAGAGCCTGGCAGAATTTGTCGTCCTATTGATGGCAAGATCAGGAATCAATGATCTAAGGAGCAGTCAACCTGTAATCGATGATACAACAATCAATCAGAATCCTGATTTGCCAGTAATAATCGATTCAGATCCACAGATCCTTGATGAGGTATTTGAAGAGTATATCAAAGAGGAATATTTAAAACCATTAGACGAAGATATAGATGAATATTTATTAGAGCAACAAAAATTGGATAAACTTTTAGCGAAAAATTTTATGAGCGAGTTGAAAGAAGCTTTAGTTGATAAACATAAGTCTATGTCTGAACGAGAGTCCAGGGCACTACAACGTATATATAAAAATATATCAAGGAATCCTGTATCGAGTACTGAGGATAACAAGGATTATCAAGTTACACCTGCTCCACCTCCAATGCCTCCTAACTACACATGGTTATCGTCATCAAGCGACAGTAATTTAGATCGCAGAAGAATGATTTCTCCTATTTATAAAATTAAAAATGATAATTCATCTGTCCATGAAAAATCCAATGAGTCAGATGAAAACGAACTTATAAGAGAGCTAGAACAAAACAACATTTTCACTAAATCATCCATCGAAGTCTGCGAGAATAGAGATGAAGAATCGGTTGCATCTATGCCACAGATTCTTCTTGAAACCCAAGCCATACGATTTATCACAAAACTACCACCACCTTTTCTCCATGAGGAAACGTTCATAGGAAGTGGTGAAAATTCTGAGGATGAGATTATAAACAATGTAAGTAATAGTGAGGAAAATAATGAGCGTGAATAATAAAGAGATAATTTTTATATTTTAAACTGATTAATTTTCCACAGCTCTCTCTCTCTATATACAATATATCTCTATCTTTTTTTCACCTCGTTTTAAATATTGAATGAAATATAGTACATTTATTTAATGATAGTGAAAAACATTTATTTACCTTACGATCCTTATTTTTTAGCCGACTATTGCACTCGTTTCTCTTACACTCTCATTATGTTTTCTCTACAATAATCCTTATATCATGTCTATCATCAATAAAGCATTAAAGATAGACAATCTATAAAAGTTCGCATAAATCTTAAAATTTAAATGATTACTTCATAATGCTATATTAATTTTATAATTTATTATTTTATATTTTGTAGACGTATGCATATATTTATGACTCAATAATAATAAATTTTTATTAAAACTGCAATTTTCTTGTATTGCGAGTTTGATTGTGCATACAAGTGAAAACTGTATTATTATACGTCATAAAAATATACATTCTTATTTACAAAGTATAATATAATAAGAAACTTAATATTGTATTAAAATAACATATAAATTAAATATATTTATATTGCATGATAAATTTTATATCGACAATCGATAATGTCGATATTTACCAAATACCTTTCATCTTCCACGGATAAGAAAAATTAATTGTCCAGGGGATCGATAGTTATCTTCCAATGTAATTGTCAACTATCGCATAAATTTACAAAGTTTGAAGTAGAGATTATGGATAAGCCTCGAACTTATCGAGCTCATTCCAAAGTCCGAAGAACTGCATAGCTCGTGACGTCGCGTCACGTCAATTCGTGCGTGCTCGTACCGCTCGCGTCGCCTTCGGTCGCTTGACAGTTCATTCCGGCGACGGAGGGGGTCGGTGATCGTTCGCTCTACCCCTCCGGTGATCACGATCATCCATCGAAAACGGTCCCAGAGCAGTAAGCGAGTGGTAGTGATCGAGTGGCAGGTATCAATCGACCCGGCATGGGCGATTCCTTGGACGGCTCCGGGGAACCGTCCCCGGAGTCGCAGAACGTCGCGATCGTCGAGTACCCGACGTTCGCCAGCTATCTACGTAAGGCCGTCACCGTGCTGCTACCGGACGAGGATGTGGTGCCGCCCGCGTTCAGCCTGGCGCTCGACGACCGCTATAACCAGGATTGCATCCGCAAGTTCCTCGGCGACTCGCAGGTCAGCTCGCTCTACGTGCAGAGGAGCTCGAGCAAAGGTAAAGTGCGAGAATCGATCGATTATTATATCATCGTTCTCTCCGGGAATGACGAGGATCGGCCGTCAGTCGGCGACCGGCGATGCGAGGCTCCTCCATTATCAAATGCGTTAATTTGGCGCGTGCAACGGTACATTTCGCACGTATATGGTACATACACGATAGGTAGTCGCATCCTGCAAAATCAATCGCGGCCCATTCACGCCCCGCTCTCCCGCCAAATATGACTCATTCGAGCTGATGAGATCGATAAGTGCGTATCGGTTAATTACGTGGGCGACGCACTATTCTTTCCTTCGTGATCTTCACCTCGACTCCCATCGACACTCTCTCGAAGTTCTCACGCGTGTCTGTATCACGCTTTGGCGAACGCGCAGTGATAACGCGTAGTTTGATAACAAATCCGTAGAACAGATTCTGCCGCGTTTGCGCTTTACTGCGCAGGCATCGTCTACGTGTAAATCCGACAGATTTATAATCTTGGCGATAAACATCGCTCGTCTATTTTTATATGCTAATCATTAAATAATGAAATTTTATATATATTATATATATATATATATAAATTATATTATATATACTTATAATATTCTAATGTTCTCCATGTGTGAATATGTACTTTAACAGTCAATTTAAATATTTAAATCTCTCAATAAATAAAAGAAGGGCAACGAGCCAATTATACTGTAAGATATTTAATAATCGTATATATATAAACGTTTCGACACCGATCGGGTCATTTTCAATGTAAAACAAACACTCTTACATAAATTATCGGAAAATTTAGTCAAATTATAATGTCCAGTAAAAAGTTCGATTATATTCATAATATGCGGTCCATAGTAAAAATATCAAAGGAGATCTCATCTCACTTTTCACAATTCTTAAATTGTCTTAATGATGTAAGTTAGATGCCGAGAGGAAAACGCAATTAACAAAGTTATATTTAATAAAAAGTAAGCCATAATACAATTGGATGTAACATTTATACTCGACGATGTCAAGCGACATTGATATTGATAAATTAACTTTTGTATTTTTTTATATTTTTTTCTAAAAAATTAACTGTCATTGTAATAATTGTTTAAAAACTGAAGTTGAATTAAATCCTTTATGTATTAACCAAGCACTCTCTCTTTACAGAAGAAGATAGTGGCGAGGGAGATGAAGACAAAGAGAATGCCACTTATTATATATCAAATGAGATACACTTTTCAAATCCAAAAATGGCCTCCCTAGTTCTAACAAAACGTGGTATTGTTGTTGAGGCTGATAAATCCATTCATTCGCAAGTGCGTCTGATTACGTTCTCTGATGGGCCACCATACGAAACTTTGCATGCGATAAGCAAAACCATGGCACCCTATTTCAAGAGTTATGTGAAGGAAACAGGTCGTGCCCATAGGGATGGGGATAAAATGGTACCATTGGTGGAGAAGAAGATTGCAGAACTTGAAATGGGGCTGCTGCATTTACAGCAGAATATCGATATCCCTGAGATCTCGTTACCGGTTCATCCGATCGTCGCGCAAGTTATTAAACAGTGCGAGGAGGAGGGTCGTAAGCCGAAAGTCGCCGATTTCGGCGACAAGGTCGAGGACTCGACATTCCTGAATCAATTGCAGAACGGTGTCAACAGGTGGATAAAGGAGATCCAGAAAGTGACGAAATTGAACCGTGATCCGGAATCGGGTACGGCCCTTCAAGAGATATCATTCTGGTTGAACCTCGAGAGAGCACTGCATCGCATTCAGGAGAAACGGGAGAGCATCGAAATCTCCCTGACGCTCGACATACTCAAGCACGGCAAGCGGTTTCACGCCACCGTCAGTTTCGACACTGACACAGGCTTGAAGCAAGCGCTAGCCACCGTCAATGATTACAATCCATTGATGAAAGATTTTCCGATCAATGACTTGCTGTCTGCTACTGAATTGGAACGAATACGCAGCAGCGTGCAGCAGATATTCATGCACTTGAGGAAAATCAGAAGCACCAAGTATCCCATTCAAAGAGTGTTGAGACTGGTAGAGGCTATTTCGAGAGATTTGGGACAACAGTTGCTCAAACCCAATGCTTCGAAGTGTTCACCACTTGGGATGACGAGTACGACAAACTCACAGGGTTGTTGAGGGACGTCGTAAAGAAGAAGCGCGATGAACACATGAAGATGGTATGGAGAGTACTGCCGGCGCACAAGAAGTTGCAGTCAAGGATGGAGCACATGCGCCGCTTCCGACGTCAGCATGAACAACTGAGAACTGTAATAGTCCGCGTGCTCAGGCCTACCGTACGCCAGAGCAGCAATAATTCCACGATGGAGAACGCCGATAACGACAACGTGAAGGTGGAATTCGCGCTGGACGCCGCCGACGCTAATGCTATCAGCGAAGTTAACTTGGCGTACGAGAATGTAAAGGAAGTGGATTGTCTGGACATTACCAAGGAAGGACAGGAATCCTGGGACGCCGCGGTGCACAGATACGAGGAGCGTATCGAGCGCGTGGAGGCGCGGATCACCGCACATCTTCGAGATCAATTGGGCACAGCCAAGAATGCTAATGAAATGTTCAGAATATTTTCACGATTTAACGCCCTCTTCGTACGGCCGCATATTCGGGGCGCCATCAGAGAATATCAGACGCAACTTATACAGAGAGTCAAAGACGATATCGAGGCCCTGCATGAAAAGTTCAAGGTATTGAATGAATATTAAGATAGCTTTAATTTTAGACAGACTTACAACTTAAATAAATGTATACATCTTAATGACTGTGATTCTTTATAGGTGCAATATGCACAAAGTAAATGCTGCAGAATGAGTATGGTGAGAGACTTACCACCTGTAGCTGGATCGATAATATGGGTCAAACAAATTGATTACCAATTGACAATGTATTTAAAACGCGTCGAGGATGTCCTAGGTATTCTCTCTTTCAATTTTTGAACTGTAGGAAATATTTTCTCAATTTAACGTTACATGCGTATATTTAGGCAAAGGATGGGAAAGTCATATCGAGGGTCAGAAATTAAAAGCCGACGGAGATAGCTTCCGTATGAAGCTGTCAACGCAAGAGATTTTCGATGACTGGGCACGCAAGGTGCAGGCACGAAATCTTGGTGTAACTGGACGTATCTTCACGATCGAGAGCGTGCGTTCAAGAACAGGACGCGGCAATGTGCTGAAACTGAAAGTGAATTTCCTTCCTGAGATTATTACGCTATCTAAAGAAGTGAGAAATTTGAGAAACCTCGGCTTTCGTGTGCCTCTACCTATCGTGAATAAAGCTCATCAGGCGAACCAGTTGTATCCCTTCGCCATCAGTCTCATTGAAAGCATCAGAACTTATGAGAGAACATTGGAGAAGGTAAGATAATTGATAATAATTTCTTAGTAATCATTATTAAGAAGTTAAACAATTTCTAGTAAATGATCCATTTCTTTTTTTTTCTGGATGTTCCGCATTTTATAAATTACAATAATATAGGCAACTTAAAGCTTTAAACAGTCCGAATAAAACGATAGATTACGCTAGGGTAATAGTGCCAGGTATTGGAGGATAAATGTTAGAATAATTGATCTCTAATTTCTTGGATCTCCAATATTTTTAGCTTACCAATCGGAGTCCCCATTGTCCCGCACTAAAGGTAGTCATATTTGACGCTTCCAAGAATTATGCATCTTGCCTATATATGCAAATGCATTATTGTCTGCCTGCTTAGCTATTGTAGATAAATCTGTAATGCAAGATAACACATAATTTATTTTTTTACTGATTTATATATTTAACGAATGTTACGTCAATTATTTTCAAATACATGTAGGCTTGTACGGATGTGCGGGAGGTCTGAAGCTACAAGCATTTAAATTATCAATTTCATAAATATTCTAAAGGAGGAAATGTAAACCAACGTTTTAAATGAAACTAATTCGTATCAAGGCAGATATACTTAAAATATGCAATTGTAAATTTGCAATTATAAATCTATTTAAATTTTAACAAATGAGGCTATCCGCATGTCCGGAAAGTTGCTTGGAGGCGATACATATAATTGTTTCGTCTTTTGATATAAATATACCAACTATTATAAATATTATCACATATGACTACGTTATCTATATTAAATTTTTAAGTATGCATACTCCTGAGTTCGTATCATTTTGAATGATAACTTGTAATTTATGTCGTAAAATTGTATTGAGATTATTACGCATTGCAAATTGAAAAAATAATGTAACAAATCTCTTCTTAGATCGAGGACAAAGCCAGTATTATTCCTTTAGTCGCTGGTATGCGTAAGGATGTCTTAGGATTGATTTCCGAGGTAAGTCATCGTTTTATATAAAATTTTTGATATATTCACTATTCTATATTTGGTTTCTATATACTATGTAGTTTCTAATATTACAACTGTATTGATTGTCTTTATATAGGGTATCGCGCTAGTTTGGGAGAGCTACAAACTCGATCAATACGTGCAACGTTTGTCGGATGCTGTCGTGTCGTTCCAAGAAAGGGTCGAAGATCTTTTAGTTGTGGAAGAACAATTAGATGTCGATGTTCGTTCTCTTGAAACGTGTCCTTATTCCGCAAACACATTCGCCGATATACTGTCAAAGATACAGAAATCAGTAGATGAATTATCTTTGAAGAATTATTCCAACTTACATATCTGGGTAGCGAGACTCGATGAAGAAGTGGAGAAAAATTTGGGTGCCAGATTGGAAGCTGGAATAAAAGCGTGGACTGATGCCTTAACCGGTCACAAAAAGGAAGTGGACCTGAGTATGGACACGGACGCTCCTACACAGCCGACACATAAACCCGGTGGCGATCCTAAAATTCAAAATCAGATTCATGAAGTCCGAATTACCAATCAGACTATGTATTTATATCCTAGCATCGAAGATGCAAGATTTCAGATAATGCAACAATTATTTGCATGGCAAGCAATTGTTACTTCGCAGGTCCGTCTCCAAAGCTCGAGATATCAAGTCGGACTGGATAAACCTGAATCAGGCACATACAGAAATTTGCTTACAAAATTACCCACTGGAAAGCAACCGTTGGAGGCAGCATACGAAGCGGTTGAATTCAAGATGAAGGATGTTGCAGATTACGTCGATCAATGGCTACGCTATCAAGCTCTTTGGGATCTACAGCCAGGTAATCTTTATGGCAAATTGGGAGAAAATATTAACTTATGGATGAAGTGTCTCAATGATATAAAGAAAACAAGAACCACATTCGATACTTCCGACACAAGACGTGAATTTGGACCTGTGATTATAGACTTTGCGAAGGTGCAGAGTAAAGTATCTCTAAAGTACGATTCGTGGCATAAAGAAACTTTGGGTAAATTCGGGACACTTCTGGGTAATGAGATGGCGAGTTTTCATTCTCAGGTATCGAAATCTCGAAGCGATCTGGAACAGCAGTCCATCGAAGCAGCTAGTACATCCGATGCAGTCGGTTTTATAACATATGTGCAATCTCTGAAGCGTAAGATGAAAGCGTGGGAAAAACAAGTAGACATATATCGCGAAGGTCAAAGAATACTTGAACGTCAAAGATTCCAATTCCCATCTTCTTGGTTGCATGTGGATAATATAGAAGGAGAATGGGGTGCATTTAATGAAATAATCAAACGCAAAGATACTAGTATTCAAACTCAAGTTGCGTCCTTGCAAATGAAAATCGTCGCTGAAGATAAGGCGGTTGAAACAAGAACTACCGATTTCCTCAGTGACTGGGAAAGGGGTAAACCGGTGGAAGGCCATTTGCGACCAGACGATGCTTTGCAACAGTTGCAATTATTCGAGAGTAAATTCGCTAGGCTTAAAGAAGAGAGGGATAATGTAGCCAAGGCCAAAGAGGCGTTAGAATTGCAAGAACCAGGCGGAATATCAACCAGCGAGGATAGAATGCAGGTGGTATTTGAAGAGCTACAGGACTTGAGAGGAGTTTGGTCAGAATTGTCAAGAATATGGGCACAAATTGATGAAACGCGGGAGAAACCTTGGCTTTCCGTACAACCGCGGAAATTGCGCCAGCAATTGGATACAATGATGACGCAGTTGAAGGAACTTCCAGCGAGATTGAGGCAATACTCGTCTTACGAATACGTAAAGAAAATGTTACAGAGTTATACGAAAGTAAATATGCTGATTGTAGAACTGAAATCTGACGCGCTCAAAGAAAGGCATTGGAAACAATTGACAAAGCAGCTCAGAGTAAACTGGGTACTGAGTGAGCTTACCCTCGGCCAAGTCTGGGACGTAAATCTGCAGAAAAATGAAGGTATAGTTAAAGATATTATTCTCGTAGCTCAGGGCGAAATGGCACTCGAGGAGTTCTTGAAGCAAGTACGCGAGTCATGGCAGACATATGAATTGGACTTGATAAATTATCAAAATAAATGTAGACTAATACGTGGTTGGGATGATTTGTTCAATAAGGTCAAAGAACATATCAATTCAGTAGCAGCTATGAAACTATCGCCATATTACAAGGTATTTGAAGAAGAAGCTTTAACATGGGAAGAAAAGTTAAATAGGATTAATGCTCTATTCGATGTATGGATAGACGTACAGCGACGATGGGTTTATCTCGAAGGCATCTTCTCCGGTAGCGCAGATATCAAGACCTTGTTACCAGTGGAAACATCCCGTTTCCAAAGTATTAGTTCCGAGTTCTTGGGACTGATGAAGAAAGTATCCAAATCCCCTATGGTTACAGACGTACTGAACATTCCTGGCGTTCAAAGAGCGCTCGAACGTCTTGCTGATCTTCTTGGCAAGATACAAAAAGCACTAGGAGAATATTTAGAAAGAGAACGAACTTCTTTCCCACGATTTTACTTTGTCGGCGACGAGGACTTGTTAGAAATCATTGGTAATAGCAAAAATGTCGCAAGATTGCAGAAGCATTTCAAAAAAATGTTTGCCGGCGTAGCAGCTATTTTATTGAACGAAGACAACACGATTATCACCGGTGTTGCTTCACGCGAGGGTGAAGAAGTTATATTCCAGAATCCGGTATCTACAGTCGATCATCCCAAAATCAATGAATGGTTGTCGCTTGTGGAGAAAGAAATGCGCGCAACGCTTGCCTCAAGCCTCGCGAAGGCAGTACAAGATATTAAACAATTTAAGGACGGAAATATAAATCCACAAGCGTTTATGTCTTGGTGCGACAACTATCAAGCTCAGATAATAGTTCTAGCTGCACAAATTTTATGGTCAGAAGACGTAGAAGCGGCTCTTCATGAAGCGCAAGCAGATCCGAGCAAAAATCCGTTAGAGAGAGTTTTAATACAAGTGGAAGGCACGTTGAACGTCCTGGCTGATTCTGTTCTTCAAGAACAACCACCTTTAAGGAGAAAGAAGTTGGAACATTTAATCAACGAATTTGTACACAAACGCACTGTTACCAGACGATTGACCGCTAACAGAGTTTCGAATCCAAAGGCCTTTGAATGGCTGTGCGAAATGAGATTTTATTTTGATCCTAGGCAAACGGAAGAGCTTCAGCAGCTCACGATACATATGGCAAATGCTAAGTTCTTCTATGGATTCGAATACTTGGGAGTACAAGATCGGCTGGTACAGACACCGTTGACCGACAGATGCTACTTAACAATGACGCAAGCATTAGAAGCTCGACTTGGTGGTTCACCATTCGGACCTGCTGGTACAGGAAAGACTGAATCTGTGAAAGCATTAGGCCATCAACTCGGAAGATTCGTATTGGTATTTAATTGCGACGAAACATTCGATTTCCAGGTAAATACAAAAATTAGCTTAATAATATTAGTAAAGAGAAATATATGTTTTATGTCGTCGTTATTTCTCATAGGCAATGGGTCGTATATTTGTTGGTCTCTGTCAAGTGGGTGCGTGGGGTTGTTTCGATGAATTTAATCGTTTGGAAGAACGAATGTTATCTGCCGTTTCTCAACAAGTGCAGACGATTCAGGAAGCACTCAAAAGTCAGATGGAAGGCAAGAAAGAAGGAACCCTCTGTGTCGAATTGGTTGGAAAACAAGTTAAAGTCTCCACTGACATGGCTATATTCATCACCATGAATCCCGGATATGCTGGACGATCCAATCTACCTGACAATCTGAAGAAACTTTTCAGGTCGCTTGCTATGACCACACCCGATCGGCAACTGATTGCCGAAGTAATGCTCTTCAGTCAAGGTTTCCGATCAGCAGAAAAATTAGCGTGTAAAATTGTGCCATTCTTCAAGTACGTATTTGAATACAATTTGAATATAAGTATTTCGTTATTAGCAAATAATATTTGTTGCATTATCGAATCTTTCTCTTTTCCTAGGCTTTGCGATGAACAACTTTCTAATCAATCCCATTACGATTTCGGACTACGTGCACTTAAATCCGTGCTGATTTCTGCCGGAAACGTAAAACGCGACCGTATTCAAAAAATTAAAGAAGGCATGCAGAACCGTGGCGAAACCAATATCGACGAAGCCTCGATTGCTGAGAATCTACCTGAGCAAGAGATACTTATTCAATCTGTTTGTGAGACGATGGTTCCCAAATTAGTTGCCGAAGATATTCCATTATTATTCAGTTTACTCAGTGATGTATTCCCCAACGTGAATTACATTCGCGCGGAAATGAAAGGTAAATTATTATTCCAATAATATGTATCTTTATAGATAGAGAAGGTTACACGAATTTTTATATAAATATACGCATTTTATTCTAGGATTGAAAGATCAAATCAGGAAAGTTTGTACTGAAGAATACCTAGTATGCGGCGAAGGAGATGAACAAGGAGGTGCTTGGCAAGAAAAGGTAATACATTTTTTTAATAGGAAAGGATGCTTAACACTAATGCCTAAATTCTAAGCAGAATCGTAAGGCTCGTAACATATTCCTGTGAGACTTGTAAGAATTTTTAAGTGCTTATACATTTATGCAATATTTTTACAGACAGCTTCTTACTAGCCATAAAATTTATAAGAAATTGTATAATAGATATTTACGAATAATCGTACGTCTTACGATACATATGCATAAAATTAGAATACTAGTCATAAGTTCTTATAAGTTTTACGAGAACACGTTACGAATCTTACGATTCTGCTTAGAATTGACCCATAATTCTCATTATAATTTTAACTATATTCTCATTCACTATCAATACTAATAAAGAGATACTAATTATACTCACTGAAGATAATAATTATCTCTTATGTATTTTACAAATACATTAATAACATGCTTAAAGACTTAATTTTCATATTGTTTATGCATACTAAGGATTTGGTCGGTGAGACATGGGTAGAGAAGGTGAGATAAATCTAAGTATAATCGTGTCTATAATTATTAATATATTTTAGAATTTTTCTTTTGTTATATCGTGAATTATCTTTATCTCTTGCACTCTTCTATTTATTATATTATTAATTTAGGTACTTCAACTATATCAAATTTGTAACTTAAATCATGGCTTAATGATGGTTGGCCCGAGTGGATCTGGTAAAACAACGGCTTGGAAAGTGCTGCTTAAAGCGCTGGAGCGATTTGAAGGCGTGGAAGGCGTCGCTCATGTAATTGACCCCAAAGCGATTAGCAAAGAAACGTTGTACGGCGTGTTAGATCCAAATACGCGCGAATGGACGGACGGTTTGTTCACGCATATATTGAGGAAGATAATCGACAACGTCAGAGGTGAAATCAACAAGCGACAATGGATCATATTCGATGGAGATGTCGATCCGGAATGGGTCGAGAACTTGAACTCTGTGTTGGATGACAACAAGCTTCTCACTTTACCCAATGGTGAACGCCTGAGCTTACCGCCGAATGTGAGAGTTATGTTTGAAGTGCAAGACCTTAAGTACGCTACCTTGGCCACCGTGTCGCGATGTGGTATGGTTTGGTTCTCGGAGGATGTGCTGTCAACGGAAATGATATTTGAAAACTACATGCTACGACTACGAAACATCCCATTGGAAGACGGCGAGGAAGATAATCTTGGCAAGAAAGCTTCGGATAAGGAAGACACTATATCACCTGCGTTAACGGTGCAGAGAGAAGTCGCCAGCATCATGCAGAGTTACTTCGCGCCTGATGGTTTAGTAGTGAGATGCTTGGAGTATGCTATGAAGCAGGAACACATAATGGACTTTACGCGCTTGCGAGCTCTTAGTTCTTTATTCTCCATGCTAAATCAAGCCGTTCGCAATGTACTACAGTACAATCACTCTCATATCGACTTTCCTTTACCGGGCGAACAACTGGAACGTTACATGCCCAAATGCTTGGTTTATGCGCTCTTATGGAGCTTTGCGGGAGACGCTAAATTAAAAGTTAGATCTGACTTGGGTGACTTTATTAGATCTATCACAACTGTACCTTTACCTTCTCAAAATAATATACCTATTATAGACTTTGAAGTAAACATACATGGTGAATGGTTACCGTGGAGCAACAAAGTTCCTCAGATTGAAGTAGAGACTCACAAGGTAGCTAGTCCGGATATTGTCGTACCGACTTTAGATACCGTGAGACACGAGAGTCTACTATATACTTGGTTGGCTGAACATAAGCCTCTAGGTAAGTAATTACTTGTAACAAACATATACATTATTGCTATATTATTTTTACGTATTTAAATATATTAAATATATAATTGTTTTATTTTTACGTATTTAGTGCTCTGTGGACCACCCGGTTCTGGTAAAACCATGACTCTATTCTCTGCTTTGCGAGCACTTCCAGACATGGAAGTTGTCGGACTTAACTTCTCTTCCGCGACGACACCCGAACTGTTACTTAAAACATTTGATCACTATTGCGAATATCGTAAGACGCCTAACGGCGTTGTACTCTCCCCAGTTCAATTGGGCAAATGGCTAGTTTTGTTCTGCGACGAAATCAATTTACCCGATATGGATAATTATGGGACGCAACGTGTGATTTCTTTCTTGAGGCAATTAGTAGAACACAAAGGATTTTATAGAACCAGTGACCAGGCGTGGGTCACTCTGGAAAGAATTCAGTTTGTAGGTGCTTGTAATCCACCTACAGATCCTGGCAGGAAACCTCTCAGTCACAGGTTCCTGCGACACGTACCTGTCATTTACGTTGATTATCCTGGCGAAACCTCGCTCAAGCAGATTTATGGCACATTCACACGTGCCATGCTCAGGTAAGAATTTCTTGAGTATGAAATGTAGGCTTTCGAGAGAAATGAGTTATTATTTTTACTTTATCTTCTTTTATTTACAATCTTTAATCAAACCTTATGTAAAAACGAAACGCATATAAGGTGAATAATCGAACTTCATGCAATAATCGAAGTTCATAAATCGCTTGCAATTATGCATTATCCCAAGAGTTTTGTTTATTGTTCGTATTTATTTGTAATACTCATTATCCAAATATTAATTAACGCAAGATAAATTTTTCTGCAAAATTATAGATTGACGCCTAATCTGAGAGGCTATGCGGAATCTTTAACGAATGCAATGGTGGAGTTCTATCTGGCCTCCCAGGAGAGATTTACTCAAGACATGCAACCACATTATGTGTATTCTCCGCGTGAAATGACACGTTGGGTGCGTGGTATTTGCGAAGCCATTAGACCGCTTGATAATCTCTCCGTGGAAGGTCTAGTGCGTTTATGGGCCCATGAGGCTCTTCGTCTATTCCAAGATAGATTGGTGGAGGAGTCTGAGAGAGCTTGGACGAATAAGAACATAGATATTGTGGCTCTGAAACACTTTATGTCGGTTGATCGAGAAAAAGCATTGACCAGACCAATCTTGTACAGTAATTGGCTGTCAAAGGACTATGTACCAGTGAATAGAGAAGAGCTGAGAGATTACGTTCGTGCAAGATTGAAAGTATTTTACGAGGAAGAGCTGGATGTGCCGTTGGTACTTTTCGATGAAGTTCTTGAACATGTTCTACGGATTGACAGAATTTTCCGACAGCCTCAGGGACACTTATTGCTCATTGGTGTCTCTGGTGCTGGTAAGACTACTCTGTCGAGATTCGTTGCATGGATGAATGGCTTGTCTATTTTCCAAATCAAGGTAATTCTATACTGCTTTGTATCGTTTCGATAACAAAATGTTATATTTAATATTTCAATTTAAATACATTCTTCTAATCAATCAATCTTCGATAGGTACACAATAAATATACTGGTGAAGACTTTGACGAAGATTTACGGCAAGTGTTGAGACGATCCGGTTGCAAGGACGAAAAGATAGCTTTTATTCTCGATGAATCTAACGTGCTGGATTCCGGTTTCCTTGAACGTATGAATACGTTACTCGCCAACGGAGAAGTACCCGGATTGTTCGAGGGTGACGAGTACACAACACTCATGACACAATGCAAAGAAGGTGCCCAGCGAGAGGGTTTAATGTTGGATTCCAATGAGGAATTGTATAAATGGTTCACCGGCCAAGTTATGAAGAATCTACACGTCGTTTTCACAATGAATCCAAGTACGGACGGTCTGAAAGATCGCGCAGCAACATCGCCTGCGTTATTCAACAGATGCGTGCTGAATTGGTTCGGTGATTGGTCGGACAATGCGTTGTTCCAAGTCGGCAAAGAGTTTACTAATCGTGTTGACTTGGAGAGACCCATGTGGAAGTGTCCGGACTTCTTCCCGTCTGTGTGCTCGCTGATCCCATCACAACCAACACACAGGGACGCTGTGATAAATGCATGCGTTTACGTTCACCAAACCTTGCACAAAGCAAACACACGGTTAGCCAAGAGAGGCGCCAGAACAATGGCAATTACGCCGCGCCATTATTTAGATTTTATTAATCACTTTGTTAAGTTGTATCAAGAGAAGAGAAGTGACCTAGAAGAACAACAGCTGCATCTAAATGTCGGTTTGAGTAAAATTGCCGAAACGGTTGAGCAAGTAGAAGAGATGCAGAAGAGCTTAGCCGTTAAATCTCAGGTGAGCACAAACTGAACTCACAAGAAACATTTTTTTGTTTTTTAATAGAATATATAATCTTTTATATCATCTATATTATCCTATTTTCTTATAGGAACTGCAAGCTAAGAATGAAGCAGCCAATGCGAAATTAAGACAGATGAATTCAAACAGTGGCTATAAATCAGAAGAGGGACGATGTCATGGCGGATCTTGCCTTGGTCGAACCAGCTGTTGTTGATGCTCAAAATGGTATATATCTTCAACAGTATTTTTTACTGCACTATTATATAAATTTGTTGATGAATATTTTTAAGATTAATCGAATAATTATAAAATCGTTCAAAATTTTATTTTGAAAAATAATTTAGAAAAACGCTTTTGCATTTATAGTAATGTTAATTAATTGTTGACATTGTAATATATTATGTTTAATATTATTATGATAATATTCAAGAAATAATGAAAGCAGTACTGTACTGCATATCTTTCTAATTGTTGACATTTTCGAATTAATGCTGTTTTAAAATTACGGTATAATTGCTTTTTGGAATGTTTTTGCGCTGAGAAATATTTGCATTGAGTGTAGCTGTGAAGGCAATTAAGCGACAACACCTGGTCGAAATCCGATCCATGGCGAATCCGCCCGCTATCGCAAAACTAGCTCTTGAATCTATATGCCTGTTGCTCGAGGAAAATGCTACAGATTGGAAGCAGATTCGTACTGTTACAATGAAGGACAGCTTTATTCCTACTATCGTCAACTTCAACACCGAGAACATCACGTAAGGGAGCGACTACTGTGGGCCTGCTGAATGTTCAACCTTCGTGCGTGGGGTTCTAATATGGAACAAGCTATAATTTTTAACAGCTTGATACATGTCTCCCTTAATACATGTCGATTTCAGCGTCGCTTACTTGCGTCGCTGCGTTATTACAACTGCAAGGAGAACGTACAGTAATAATATCTCAGGAGAAGATATTGCAAATGAAAATATTTTATTAGATCGTTTCCATCTCTTTGCAAATGTAAAGACATAACATGTATGTTACTTATGTTGCCTCTTTTAAGTCTAACACTATAGGTCAGCTATGCAGGAAGGCCAACATCTCCTCTCGCGTAACTTATCATAACTTTGCCTAATGCATGTGCATCTTCTTCTTTGTACTATATATAATGTCCTCTTTGATTGTTCGTACAGCGGTGAAATCAATAAAGAAACAACATTTAGTCGAGGTTCGCTCCATGGCGAATCCGCCGGCGATTGTGAAGGTCGCATTGGAATCTATCTGCTTGTTACTCGGTGAAAATGCTAGCGACTGGAAATCTATCCGTGCGGTCATCATGAGGGACAATTTTATCAATACTATTGTCTCTAATTTCAGTACCGAGGATATTACGTAAGCATGCATTCATTATTTGTTTTCTTGTTGTGATATCAAAGGATCAGCTATCACAAACTTAGATATTTCACGTACGATGTAATATTAGTGCAGAGTTGCAATATTTGATTGCATTGATGATTAAAGTATTAGCTTATATTTACGACGATTTTTAAACATATTTACTGATTTTATTTTTTTGTGTTATTCAATAAATATATTAAAAAGGTGACATTTTCTTTAGATATTATAATGAATGAACCAATGTCTTTTATACTATTATTTAATCAATACATCATAACAAGTTTTGATGAACATATTTCTTATAAATGCACTTCACTTGGCAAGCAATTTTAAAACTGCTTTGAGAAATATATAACGTGTATAACAAGTTTTAACGGCAAAAATAACTACTTGTTACAACTACTGTTATTCTTTTACTGCATGTTAACAATGTTTGATTAATTTGTTACTAACATTAATCTAGATCTTGTTTATTGAAATTAATGATATTAATAATATATAACAGCATACATATGAAACGTGTGTATTAATATTTTATTAGTATAATTACAGTAAAATTAGTTTCTAATTTTCTACCGAATTAATAGTTTCTGATGATAAAAAGAGTAATTATACAAAATATTTTTATATGACAAATTATTTTATGACAAGTTATATTACAATAGAGTTAAAAAATGATTTTATTTTCTAAAGATGAAGACATTAATGAATTTTTTAATTAGCGATGAAGTGAGAGAAAAAATGAAGAGCCGCTATCTGAGCAATCCCGATTATAACTTCGAGAAAGTGAATCGTGCTAGTTTAGCTTGTGGTCCTATGGTGAAATGGGCCATAGCGCAGGTAAATTTTACCGTTTAGAATTTGAAAAAGATGTATATATCATTTATACAATTTCCAAGGACATAAACCTTAAAGATAAATATATTTCCAGATTGAATACGCTGATATGTTGAAGCGAGTTGAACCCTTGCGCGATGAACTTCATTCTTTGGAACGACAAGCAGAAACTAACAAACTAAAGGGTGAAGAAGTGAAAAATTTGATTGCTCAATTGGAGCAAAGCATAGCGTCATACAAGGAGGAGTACGCTCAACTTATCTCACAAGCGCAAGCCATCAAAGCCGATTTGGAGAGTGTGCAAGCCAAGGTGGACAGATCAATCGCTTTGTTAAAGTCCTTGGTTATCGAAAGGGAAAGATGGGAAGCAACGAGCGAAACATTTAAGAGTCAAATGTCGACGATAATCGGAGACGTTCTATTATCTTCCGCTTTCTTGGCCTATGCTGGCTATTTCGATCAACACGTAAGTTTCAACTCTTCCTTTCTTTTACATTTGGAGTTTTGTTAATTTACAACGGAATGTGTTTTATTTTAGTATCGCCAAAATCTCTTTACGACGTGGTGTCAACATTTGCATCACGCAAACTTACAATTCAGACCTGATATTGCGAGAACAGAATATCTTTCCAATCCGGACGAACGTTTGAGATGGCAGGCGAACGCGTTGCCGACCGACGATTTGTGCACCGAAAACGCAATTATGTTGAAGCGCTTTAACAGATATCCACTAATCATTGATCCATCTGGTCAGGCAACGGAATTCATTATACGAGAGCGCTCTACGATTCGGTAATCCCCTTCTGGTTCAGGATGTGGAGAATTATGATCCTATATTGAATCCTGTCTTGAATCGAGAACTGAGACGAACAGGCGGACGCGTACTGATTACACTCGGCGACCAAGATATAGATCTCTCGCCTTCCTTCGTTATCTTCTTGTCGACGAGAGACCCGACGGTGGAATTCCCACCAGACATCTGCTCACGTGTAACGTTCGTTAACTTCACCGTTACTAGAAGTTCTCTGCAGAGTCAATGTTTGAATCAGGTGCTAAAGGCCGAACGTCCGGACATCGACGAGAAGAGATCCGATCTGCTGAAACTTCAAGGCGAATTCCACTTGAGGCTCCGACAACTGGAAAAGTCTCTGCTGCAAGCGTTGAATGATGCCAAGGGTAAGATTCTCGACGACGATTCCGTGATCACCACTCTGGAAACTCTGAAACAGGAGGCCGCCGACATCAGCAAGAAGGTGGAGGAAACGGACAAGGTTATAGCGGAAATCGAAACAGTCTCACAACAATACATGCCTCTTTCTCAGGCGTGTTCAAACATGTACTTCACGATGGACAGCCTCAACCAAGTACACTTTTTGTATCAGTATTCGTTGAAGATGTTCCTGGATATATTCACGTCCGTGTTGTCTCAAAACCCGAAATTATCTGGTATGTCAGATTATGGTCAGAGGCTGACACAAATCACGCGCGATCTATTTGCCGTCTGTTATGAACGAGTTGCCAGAGGAATGTTGCATACGGATAGGCTAACATTTGCTTTACTGCTCTGTCGTATTCATTTGAAGGGTGTACCCTCGGAATCCACCTACGACAGTGAGTTCACATTCTTCTTGCGCGGTAAGGAAGGTGTGCTTAACATCCGGGCGCCTCCGGTACCCAATCTCAGCTCAGAACAACAGGAAGCGATGATGCGCCTGAGCATAAGATTGCCCGCCTTCAAAAAGCTCGCGGAAAAAATCCAGGAAAACTCGGAATTCAGCGCGTGGTTGCAGTCACCTACACCTGAGACATGTGTACCGAAGCTCTGGGATGAGGAGAAGCCGTTGTCACCCACAGGAACAGCAATGCACCAGTTGCTGATAATACAAGCTTTCCGACCGGATCGCGTGATTGCAGCCGCGTCTCTAGTAGTGGCCTCTGCTTTCAACGAATCCTTCATGCCGGCCGCGGAGGCTGAACTCGATTTTGCATCTGTTGTAGAGGACCAATTGAAAGCAACTGTGCCGGCTTTATTGTGCTCAGTACCGGGCTTTGACGCTTCGGGTAGAGTGGACGATCTAGCCGCAGAATTGGGTAAACAAATAGCCAGCATCGCTATTGGATCGGCGGAAGGATTTAATCAGGCTGATCGAGCTATAAATATGGCTGTGAAGGCCGGCAGGTGGGTTCTGTTGAAGAACGTACATCTTGCTCCACAATGGTTGGTGCAGCTAGAAAAGAAGTTGCACAGTCTTCAGCCGCACGCTAGTTTCCGACTGTTTCTAACGATGGAGATTAATTCTAAGGTGCCGGTGAATCTATTAAGAGCTGGTAGAATATTTGTGTTCGAACCGCCTCCTGGCATACGAGCAAATTTGTTACGTACATTTAGCACCGTTCCCGCTTCAAGGATGATGCGAGCGCCCAACGAGAGAGCCCGTCTCTACTTCCTGCTCGCGTGGTTCCATGCAATCGTACAGGAACGTCTACGTTATGCGCCGTTGGGCTGGGCAAAGCATTATGAATTCAACGAGAGCGACTTGAGAGTCGCTTGCGATACTTTGGATACATGGATTGAAACTACGGCTATGGGCAGAACAAATCTGCCGCCAGAAAAGGTGCCTTGGGATGCTCTAGTAACTCTTCTCTCTCAGTGCATCTATGGTGGCAAAATTGACAACGATTTCGATCAACGTCTCCTAGCTTCTTTTCTGCGCAAACTCTTCACTCCGCGCTCATTCGAAACTGATTTTGCCCTTGTCGCCAACATCGACGGCGCACAGGGTAATCAAAGACACATCACAATGCCGGATGGCACTAGACGTGACCACTTTTTAAAATGGATTGAATCACTTTCGGATAGACAGACACCTTCGTGGCTTGGCTTGCCGAACAATGCAGAAAAAGTGCTTCTAACCACAAGAGGAACCGACTTGGTTTCCAAGCTTCTTAAGATGCAGCAGTTGGAGGATGAGGACGAATTGGCGTATTCGAACGAGGAGTCTCTAGATACACCAAGAGAAGCTGAAGCAGACGGTCGACCATCTTGGATGAGGACCTTGCATAACTCAGCCTCCACTTGGTTACAATTACTTCCAAAGAATCTACCGACCTTGAAGAGAACAGTTGAGAATATCAAAGATCCATTATATAGATACTTTGAGAGGGAAGTCAACAGCGGAGCGAAATTACTTCAAGATGTTATCCACGACTTGGAGGATGTCGTATTAATTTGTCAAGTAAGTGTTTTACTTCTGTTTTATTACTATCAAATATAAAATGGCCAAAGGACTAATATTGTTTAAGTTAATTGCGTTTTATGTATTTTTAACAGGGCGAGAAGAAACAAACCAATTATCATAGAACGATGCTGTCTGAATTAGTAAAAGGTATTCTGCCCGGTGGTTGGAGGAGATATACTGTGCCAAGAGGCTGTACAGTCATACAATGGATTACCGATTTTAGCCACAGGGTCTCGCAACTGCAGGAAGTCTCGCGTTTAGTCTCCCAAGGCGGTGCGAAGGAGATAAAGGTTCATTTCAATTTTCATCCTTACATTTGCTTCACTGTTCCAGATATTTTATCATTGAATGATATTAATTATACTATTTTTCAGAAATATGTTTACTTTTCATTGAATTCACTCAAATTGATTCGATATAAAATTATAAATTAATTGTGATTGGTTTCAGAGTTTTCCAGTTTGGCTGGGAGGTTTGCTGAATCCTGAGGCTTATATCACCGCAACCAGACAATGCATCGCGCAGGCTAATAGCTGGTCACTCGAGGAACTGCAATTAAACGTAACTATCGGAGACGGCGATAACATTGCTACGGATGATTGCTCCTTTGCTGTTACTGGTTTAAAACTACAAGGTGCGCAATGTAAGGATAATCAATTGTATTTAACTTCGACTATTATGACTGATTTACCAGTCACTATGCTAAGATGGGCGCGATCATCTACGGAGGATATCAGAAAGGGCAAACTGTCCTTGCCGGTCTACTTGAACAGCACTCGTACCGAACTGTTATTTACTGTCGATTTGAATATCGCTCCTAGTCAAGAACCGCACAGTTTTTACGAGAGAGGGGTTGCTGTATTAACATCCACCGCTTTAAATTAATAATTGCTTAATAATTAAAACTGTTTAGAGCAAATTGTATCGTATGTGAAGCAAAGAATGCTATCACGATAAATTAAAAACAGTTTACGACATATTGCATGTTACGTCGTTTGTAAAGAAAAGGAGGCATAATAACGTGCAACTCACTACAAACCTAAAGTATAAAAACATTAAAGAAATATATATTTTACACTGAATTGCTTTCGTATCTCCGAAGAATTTTGTGCTGATTGTGTATAATTAGGAACGAATATTTTCGACGTATAGAGCATAATTAAGTGTACATCATTCATTTATAAGAATTAACATTTTCACGCAGGAGGTTGTAATATATATATAGTTTATTTAATATTGTATACGTTCAAATATAAATATGGTTCTGTAACAAAAGGATTACATTGCGTTTGCCCAGATGTAAGTCGGGATATTACAGTGTTTATAACATCTTACTAGCATCTAATAAAGTCGTATTATAATATCACTTTGTTTTCACTATTTGTAGTCAACGTTCAACTATACACATTTTTGTTTATTTTTTTTTTATGACCACTTTATCGATCCTATAACTTATTCTGATTTACCATTCAATTATCTTAGTTAAAATTTTAATACAACAGACTCCACACGTTTCTTATGGAAAAATTACCTCAGTCGAATTGCTCGAACCGTTATTTCGATTTAGTTTATGATTTTAAATAAATGTCTTTATTACTATAACTACAGAAGATCAAAGGGTAAAGAAATATGCAGCTCTGAAGTCATAGAATTTGATTGTTGCCATATTTCAGATAATTTGATGCATCTTTCACGTATGAGTGTATTCGTAAACATTTAAGTGCATATATTCGCACTTAAAATATGCTTTCACTACGGAGGAGAATTAGAGACTTGACCAAACGATTATCGAACTAGACATGCTCTATTCACGGATCACCGTTTGACTGCCAGTTTTTTAATTCTCGACAGTGAAAGTACAATATTTTATCGCCGCTTTCCGAATAATAGAAACTCAGCAGTTGCTAATTTTTCTTTAATTCCTGACAATGCTTCAAGTCATATTCGGGACTCTTCGATACTGAGCGAAACAATTCGACCAGTAATTCCATTTGTTAAACCAATAATTCATTCCTTCTATTTTTTGCTTTTCATCCATTGGATAACTGCAAAAAAATATCCAGCGGTGCTGAAATTCGAAGCGAAACCTAATCTCCTCTTCACTGCTAGACATCCGTCTTTGCCATGGAATCACAGCCCTGACAGTAGCTCTCTGTTGTGTTTACCTCTATTTATTTTTTACAATTACCATATATAGCAGCCAAACGATGATCTGGATAGAACATGTCAAGTTCAATAATTATCCTTATTTGATTTTAAATAAAGAAATAGAGTTTGTCTATTTCTTTATTTTAAGCAAGATCACAAGGAAGACGTACAATATATCAGAGCAGTAAGCACTTAAGAAAATATTAGGGATGCACCAGATATCTAAAAAGCATCCGGTATCCGATATTATCCGATACTTTTACTATCCGATCGGATATCATTAGTATCTAGGAATATATCCGGTTGAAATTTTATATCATTAAATTGTTGATTTGTTATTATACAAATGTTTTAGAAATAAGTATGCATGTTCATAATGCCATATTAATATCTTATACATTGTTGCAAAATTACATTTTCCTTAGTTTTTTTTTTTTTTTTTTTAAAAACAGTTTCTCGAAATCCGATCAGATATCCAGAAAATATCGGATATCCGGCTCGAAGAAATTGCCTTCCCCGATATCCGGTAATTTTACGATCCGGTGCATCCTTAGAAAATATATTTATTCCACATATACATCCAGTACTCTAAACACGAGTGGCAGAATTATGCTAGGATCCGTACTAACTGAATAAATCGTTTAGATTTAAATCATCATTGATGTTCGATCATCGGATTGTCTTTTACCTGCTATATAATATTTTTGCATCACAATCGAAACATTTGATTTTGTCGCTTTCTCCTACAGTAGAATTCAGTCGCAGCGAATTTCTGATTTCTTTCATAAACGCAGCTAGTTTCTGAAAATAGACAGACTCAAATCGATATTTTTATCATTAGGCATCTTTATATTATATCGATTTTGAAGGGTAATGATTTATTATAACATATGACTTATATTCAATGAATTGCTTAACAAAAAAATTAAAATATAAATCTTTAATTGCAAGGATCATATCACATATGTTTTATTATCGTTATTTTCTTTGTCTCAATGCAATTCTAGACAAACGCGTTATACATTACAGACGTTTTAACAGAAAGGATAACTTATTTATTTTTCTTTATTGAATGACGCAGTTAACTCATGTAAAATTTCTTTTATCGTGCTCTTATCATATGTACAAGTGGATATGCGAGGATCATATATGGAATGCTATTGAGAGAAACAACCGTCTTTCTCTTTCGAAATTTTATTTTGTATTATAATTATCGTTATCATTACATGTGTATCTCTAAGTTTTGTACAATATAATGTCAAAGTTATTTTGCCCAGGGTACACGTCCAATGATCACAAATGCATTTTACTGCAGATATATATAAAAAAAAACGTCGAACATCCGAAAGTTCGTAGAAAAATGTGAAAATATCTGTGCTGTACATATGCATTTGTGATACAAAAATAAAATTAATATCTATCATAAAAATAAGTATACAAAAATATATATATGTGTGTGTGTGTGTATAAATGCATGTGTATATTTATATAATTGTGTACTAATAGAACAGAATAACTTTGGACAAAGAGAACGTAATTACGAGAAATTTATGTTAGAAAAACGATTACGACACGAAAATGCAAAATTTTTGGTCTCATTTCTTCTCATTGTTGAACACGCATTATTACAATTCAGCTTCATTAATACAAAAGAGATCGTCCATATCGAAAAAATTGTATTTGATAGAACCCTATTTCCATGGATAATTATTATATGTACGCATGTTTCTATACCAACACCTCATATAAAAATTAATATGAATATATATATATTTTCTATATATATATTATATATATAGAATTTATATATATAGAATATATATAATATTCTATATATTTGTGAAATGAAGCGAAATATGGTACTATAATATTGTTTCATTTTGAAATTATTTCGGATTATTCAGAAAATAAGAATTTTACAATATTTCCTTGTTTCTACAAACATAGAATTAATCTTGAAATATACATACATAAATGTATATCTTTTATATATAATTTTGTTAAGCTCATCTCAGTAAAGCCATTATATTGTTGATATTTAAAAATTATATACTCCCCTCTCTACGGAATACGCCAATTTATTTTAAGTAGACATAATATATACAAAATATCAGGGTTGGCAAGTAACGCGTTACTTGTAACGCCGTTACTTTGTTGAGCATTATCTTGTTATAATAATGATTTGGTAATAATATTGTGAATTTTTTATGATGGTAATGCTAACATTAGAAAAGTTAATCGTTATTTGTAATGGATTGAAAAAGTCATTCGTTAATGAAAAAAATAACTCCGAATTTGTAACGCGTTACTTTTTAGTAATGAGTAACGCTACGCATAGTTACCCGTTACTCGTTATACTTATAACTTTTTCAGTGTAACACACGTAATAGTGCCAAGTACTTTTCAAAGTGACTTTTCTAAACCTTAGTACAACCTTAGCGTTTAGTTAGTTAGCATTACCATCATAAAAAATTGCAACATCGTCATCAAATTGTTTACTATAAAAAGTAACGTTACAACAAAGTAACTGAAAAGTAACGTTTGCCAATCCTGCAAAATATATTCGCAGATAAATTAAATATTAGATATTAAAATGCAATTTCTGTACTAATTTTATATATATAAATATATACACACAAGGTGTCGTAAAAATTGTAACACACTTAAATGAAGATTTCTGAGATCATTTTTAGACAAAAATGTAATATCAAAACAAATATCGAGAATAATAATTTTTCAATATAACAAATATCAATAATTTTAAATTTGCATACGTAATTTTTATATTGATTTCAACAAGAGACAACAATTATCTTTTGCTTTTAGCACTTTGCATTATATCACGCTTGAACATACAAATTTTAATGATTCGCTAACTTTAAATTATAATTCAAAAACTATTATAGCCTCGGCATTTTGCTATTACAATTTTCGTCGGAAGATATTCTCAGAAGTCTACCCTTAAGCTGTTACGATCTTTACGGATCACCCTGTATATATACCGAATCGTTTCAGAATTTTGATGTTAATTGATGTAATTAATCGATTCGTGGACATAAACTTAGAATTTTCAACTTTTAGGAACTCGATTCAATTGTGTAATTGTGGATCACTTGTATGTGTGATTGTTTCTTTATGCTTTGATTTAACCTAACTTTTATATAAAATGACCAAACCTGAGGTTTATTCAATGCATAATAATCTTATTTGAAATAACTTATAAATATCCACCAATGTAGTCGTAAAAGCTACATCCTTTATACATTAACGAGTATGCCAAAAGTTTCTTGTTTTTCGTAATCTTATTAAACTTACTAAATTTATTAATTATTATATTACCTATACGAAATAATAATGACACGTACATTTACATTAACAAATTCTTACATTGCATTTCTTTAAGGATACTTTAATTATCAACCATATTGACGATGTTAAGAGCCTACCACACATTGTGTAAGAGCGATAGATCGGGAGCCTTGAACTTGAATATTGTGTTAATTTTGTATCAATGTCGATTAATTTTTATCAACCGTACCCTGGAGTGCTTAGATTCGTTATGATAAAGTTTCATATTTTACACTTATAGACAGTGATGTGTTTAATCATTTGTAGTCCATTAATATGTATAAACGGAATATATCTAACGGATAACAGAAATTAGAAAAAAATTGGCAGATTAAATTCGGAATTCTTCATTAATCTAGAAAGGCTAATAAAGTCAGTTTACAAATATTCAGCACGAAAATATTTATATTTAAGTATATTACTGCGCAACTTGCTATTAAAGAAAATTCAATACGGATCAAAAAAGAAAGGTTTGATGATTATTTTAGAAACAATTCTATATATTGATACAAACATTAACGCTCCAAAAACCATGATTTCTATCCACAGAGTGTCGATAAAGTATGTCCCCATCTCCTACATTTCGAAAACGATTTAAAATTATGAATGACTGCGAAATACGTTTTCCACAAAATTATTTTTAGACTTTGCCTTCTCCTAAGTCAGATGCATTTTATAACGGAGTCTTTTATTTTTCTCTTTGCATACGAACATTTAGCCCTATATACCGTATCAATCATGAACTAAATGTCGAAATATTCATAACCTATATTTGTATATGAATATATATCTTATTTCTCATCATTACATAATACTAATGACTAGACTTCATGCCATGTTGCTATTTGTACTCGTATAATGGTATCGTTTTATCTTTGTCTTCCATCATAATACCTCTTTCAGCAAATGTTGCATTGGGAAACAATATAAACTCGAAAACATTCAAATAGCAACGTTCCGTTGCAGGTACAACCTATTTCTTCTGATTTTAACAACTTCCAGTATTTGCGTTATTCAATAGTTAAAATATGAAAACTTGTGATATGCTACATGTGTATACATCGACTAACAATTTTTGCAATACCAATTACGTAGCTATATGTATTTATATATATATATATATATTTAAATATAGGAACATTTATTACTTGTACAACGATTACAAAAAGTACATTCACTGGTTAATATTACAACAGAATATCCTTTCTATTGAGATCATAATAACCGTGAAAAGTTAATATTTTATTAACAAGAGATTCAACGTTATATAGTTTGTACCTGCTAATCGGTATGCTACATGAGTCATGTCATTTAGTTTTGCTTGAAAGTGTCAGTCTTTATAATGATGATAAGTAGAAAATTTTACCAGAATCCACCGATTATTTATCACAAGGATAAAGACACTATGAGATGTACACTTGTACAGTAAGTTCAACATTCTTACGACATACGCCGCATATTTTCATATTTTTCGCACACTCTGCGCACGCCAATAAATGTCCGCATGGCATAAATACGATCCGTACTTCTCTACTAAAGCAAATTTTACATAATCTTGCATCCTTGTCGCATGGTTTGTCACCCTGTGATTGGACAGATTGTTCCTCGCTTTTAGCTTCACCTGATACAGCACTTGCTTCTGTATTATCATTAGTTATTTCAGAACTGATTGAATTTTGAGAACTTCCACTAGCAATACTCTCACTATCAGCTTTCTCTAATTTTTCATCCAATTTATTAACTGCAGCTGGTATGTTTTCCTACGCGGAAAAATAAAGCAATTTAGAATTAATTATTATTGCATTCAATAATTTAATAATTAAAATATTTATTATAAATATTTTAATTATACAAATTATATAATTCTATCAACAATAAATATATTTTATTAAATGTGCTTACTGTTCCGATATATGTTCTCCCAGTAATGTTGCTCACAAACTCCATTCCTTTAGTCAAAAGCAGATAAGGACAGTATTCAAACCATTTGGCATGCTCCACCCAAGGATCATCATTTGGCTCCCAATCCCTTAATCCTCCACCGCAATGATAGCATAATGTTTGATCGCCACTTCCAGTGTAATAGAAACCAGCAGTTGCTAGTTCTTCTTTAGTTTGTGACATTGCTTTAGGCCATCTATCATACGATGCTAATCTAGCAGCATAACTAGCGTATTCGGGATGCTTCGGTCTTGATGCGAACTCTTTCAACCTAGAATTCACTCTTTCTTCAATTTCTCGCTCTTCATGATCTGGACCGGAAAAAGGCATGTATATTGAACCATAAGGTCCACATACATCCATTCCTTTAGGAACAGGTGCCGGAATTTCACCAGGATCCGTACCGATCGGCACATTGCCGCATGGAATTTTACGAATAAACCTACATTTTCCAGACCATCGCTGATGATCAACCATTGGATTGTCTTCTTCCCGCCATTGACATATTTCTATATTACATTCGAAACATTTCACTTTGTCGCTTTCACCAGTATAAAAAAATCCAGCCGCCGCGAGTTCCTCTGGCTTTGTCCATGAACATGGCCAGTTTTTAAAGCTGGCCAAACGAGCGGATTCAAATCGATAATCTAAAGATATCGATGATCCATTATCAACTTCGTCTTGTTCTTCGATACATATGTGAGACTTTATTGGTGATTTTCGTTGCAAATGATTTGAAGAAAAGATGTATTGTTCAATATATTCGGTCATTTTTGTAATATAATTATAAAGCTGCTTCCTGTGAACCAGTAAAGAAAAAATAAATGTGAATAAATGCTGAAATATTATATAATGAAATTCATTAACAGTTTTATTTCGTACTTGTTATACAATTTGGGACAAAATGGCGATAAAAATAAAATAAAATCTGCGCTTTTACTCGGTACTTATTAATATTAAATTATGTTGGAAAAAAAACCGGCAATGTGTCAATACGAGCATGTTTTATGTCGATTTATTAGCTATTTTCTGATCAAATTTGTTATCACTGCTGGTATATTGCGGACAGTTGGCTTATTAGCAGACATTTATTAATTAATTTCATTAATTATTACGAAAATTGTAAAATGGCAAAGGATTTTTCTATTTGATTTAAACTTCTTACTATCCACAAACGGTATTACACTTATTATTATTAAAAACACCTTGAATGATTTAAAAAGGATTATAGCCTCGACATCACAGGCAATATTTGAAATATTTTTCTTCTCCCTCTCGCTTCTCTTTTTGTGCAAAAATACCAATAAAAATTATAAAAGGCTAAAGGCATCAATTTTACGGCTAAAAGAAAGCACACCAGGTATAAAATACCTTTGAGAGGTACGTGCTTCCTATTTATTATTTAAATATTCACATCCGTTGAACATTCAAGAATATATACCAACGTCTGAAAACACATCGAGATGGGTTTTGTAGTTTAATTAGCGATAATAATATAAAAAATAATTATAATATATAACAATAATGAATAATACAAATAATTAACTATACATGTTTTTTTAAAGTAAACTTGCATGGGAGATTTACATCCCAACATTATATCTCAATTTTCATTGTTCTCTTTGATGATTTCCAATTAAAATAAGATATTGATAATATTCTATATTTCTTTTATATTAAAATAAGCGCAAAATTTCTTCTTTAATTGTAAAATAAGGGCGTATTATTTTTTACATCTCACGCGAATGTTAATAAAATATAATATAATAGCAATAAGATTTTCGAACAAGCAATAATCGTGGCACACTCTAATCGATATTTTAAACAGGAAACATATGTCATAAATGTCTCCGATATACGTGCAAATTCATCCATTAATCATTTTATGATTTTGCATATATATATATATATATTATAGCGAATATAATCTAGCCATAAAATCATTGCTATCAACAAGGAAGTCGACTTATAAATTAGTAACACGTTCAGAAGACATACAGCTGTTAGTTGCAACACCCGGTACATACATCGAATGCAACGTTGCCGCTAACGCGGCCTCTATTTCTGTTCGTCTTATTACATTATACGGGAACGTGACGCGTATCCGTGGAGTGAATTGTAACGGTAGGACTGTCTACAGGCAACGAACGTGCCCCGGTCTTCATTCCATTTCGAGGACCTGCTGCTTTTGGGACCAAGAGAAATATTTTCAAATTTTTTTCTGTTTCTCCTAATTTACCATAAAATCTGATAAATCTCGAGAAACTTCGAAACGAAAGAATACTTTATCGAAAATACTTAGTGATGTTTAGTACATTAGAAAGTTCAAATCGGCGAGTTGAAAATATTTGAGAATTATTTTGTAAATTCTCACGTTAAAAAGTATCGACAATCCAAAGTATTTATTCACACGAAATAAGTACAGCCTGTGCGCAGGTATTGCAACGGACATGTTTTTTATCAGGGAGAGCCTGCTGGATCTTAAGCTTGGTGGTGTAGCAACATTCCAGTCTGGATCTGTGAGTCTGTAGCCAGTGAGGAAGAGAGTCGGGAGAGAGTCTGAAGGACAAATGATGAATCAGGATTGATCGAAATCTGGAAAATTTGAAAGGTTGGACAGTACACTGAAAAAAATGCATGTAATTTTACATGGAAATTACATGTTTATGACTGGAAAATTACTTAAATTACATAAATATGATTGGAAATTTACTGGAAATTGTAAATTTTTCATATTTAGATAATTTTTCGGTCATAGATATGTAATTTCCAGACATGTAAAATTACATGCATTTTTTTCAGTGTGGTCAACTTCTAAGACTACCGCGGCGATTACTGACTCATTGTAGAGCCGGACTTGTGGAATTTGCTACAGTATCGTACTCGAGAGGGAGGGAAGGGGAGAAGGGGGAGAGAGAGAGAGAGAGCTGGCGCTGTTAACTACACAGGATGTCTAGCGACAAGGTAGATCGTTAAAAAGGTAATGCATCGGTCACGTCGTGAAAACGAATTTTACATATCTTAATGCGGCTTAATCTTCGTTCGACATCTATATTGTATACAATATAGATACTGTATACAATACGGATGCTGTCTCGCCAGTGTCGCTCTAGGGAACGTTTTTCTCTCCGGATTTGTCGCAGCCGAGGCGCGCCTTGCGTCTCAACTTTCTACAGAAAAAATGGCCTTGCAACGTACACACTACTATGCGTTGGAGATTGAGGATTGCGAATTAAAGATTAGAATTCGACCAGATAATTTTAATTTTAATTCGTTTTGTTCCGATTGGTCGAATTTTAATCTTTAATTTTTATAAATCTTACAAGAACATGTCTCACGAGTCTTATTCTGCTCAGAATTGATCCGTTACTGTGGCGATATATAGGGTGTCGTTACAAAATTCTCGACAGTCATAATTTAGAATGAAATTATCTATTGGCTACGAATCGATTAGATGTCTTCGCGGATTCCTTTCTTTATTCTTGGTTCCAAACTAACTAATCTCTTTGAATTAGACACGATAATAATAATTATTTGTTATTCAGTTTTTAATCTTGAGATTCTATTTGCGAGTTCTATTTTTTTTCCACAAAAATTTCCTCTCATTTTGTTCGAATCATCATTTCTTGCTAAAGACTTTGCTGAAGTCAGTCATTATGAATCAATCGACGAATAAATCTGAGAATAAACGCGCAAAGTCCATGTCTTTTGCAATATTTCGTGTTATCGCAAAATTACACGTTAATGCCAATGTCACGTACATGCTATATCGGAAAGACATTTATCGTTTAGACTTCAGAGAATTACAATGATATCAGCGCAAAATTCCTTTAGACGCTTGCGTCTTCTTTATTATATTTCCAGCTGCGAGAGAAGTGGCAACGCTGCTTATACGCTGTGGGTTTAGTACGTTAGTCGTACAATTGAAAGGTCTACCACGTCGGTCGAGCTCTGTTGGTTTAATCTTTCAAACTCTGTGTATATTGTAACGTACATCAAATTTGAAATTATTTGTTGAAATTGTTTAATTCTATCGACATCATCTGAGCTCTAATGTACTTATATAATAATATATGTTGGAAAAATAGTCAAAATTTTGAAAAAAAATTAATTGTTCTGTATGAATTACTTATTAAAGTGCGCATGAATTGAATTAAAAAAATTTTAATATGGTTCAAATAAAATCAGGTCTGAATTTAGATCCTTATTTTGATGATCCAACAAAATTTTTTTCAGATCTAAATTCCCGTATCTAAATTCTTTAGCAAAATCGTTTTTTTTTTCGTGTAATATAAAAATATCTGAGACTGAAGAAAAACGAGAACTATGAAGGAAAACGAGACAAACGAGAAAATTTATTTTTAATTTTTATGTCGAAATGAATTCGAAGAAATCATATCGAAGAAATCGTATCTCAATTTAGTTAATGTTTGTTAATTGCGATTAGCTAAGAAAGATCAATGGAATCAGGTGTGAACTTCCCGTACATTTCGAAGATAACATATGGAAGTGAATCTAGACGGTATTAAATATCATATCTCTTATTAAAGATTTCCCGTAATGATAAACGACTTCTCAAATAGATAGAATTCGATAACTCACATTATCTTATCCTCTCGGATACAGAATGAGATAGTACTTTGATTCAGAAACACATTATCCGTGTAAGGCAATAGAGGTTCTTCTTAGAAACCACTACAAAGCCGCAGTATACTATTATTTATAAGCTACTTCTTCTGAACATTCCAAGATTTCCGAACAGAGATCAAAGTACTGTCGCCTAAATCGACCCGATTTAGGCTGTGTTTCAAATTTACTGCCAGCGCCGAAAATGCTACAGTTTACGTTATGTGCACTATAGATTTTCAGTGCAAACAATCAATTTTGGAATATAGCCTTAGGCCCGGTTGCACCAATGTTATTTTAACTTTAAGCGAAACTTAAAACTCTATCTGTCTCGTTTTAAAGCCGAAAAAGAGACAGAGAGTTTTAAGTGTTTTAAGTTTTAAAATGGACCTTAGTGATGGACTTCTTATCCAGATCAAACTGGCCGTCAAAGAAAACATACTATTCCTTATCTCCTTGAATGTTAATGACGGAAAAATCCGTCAAAATAAAACTGGCCAAAAGTGCTTCATGGCGGAAAAATCCGCATATTTCATAACGCCAATAAATCACTTTTGCAGTGCAGCAATTGAACTGATAATGCCATTGACTGATGTCATTGATGTTATTGATATCATTGATGCCATTGATGTCATTGATAGCATTTTTGGCACACAAGCCCTTTTTCTTGCCTGACACTCAAGGGATTAAGACAGAGTTACAAGACTCAAATCACAATAGGCAAAAGGTCAATATCCTCAAACATCGAGAGAGAACCAAAAGATAGATTCTTTTGAAAATGCTCCGAAACCTTTTTTGTTGACAGGAGCAGGTATAGAAAAGAGAAAGAAAAATATGCGGGGCATAAAACTTTCCTTCACTTGCCATTTTTCACGAACTTTTGAACTAAATTTTGATAAATTGTTCAAATGAATCGATAATTATTCTATATACTTAAATTTGTTGTTTTATCCTTTTCTCTTTAATACCTAATTACAGTGTCCCACACAACTGATGGCGGATAAAAAGTGATTTTATATGAAAAATAAGTCGAAAATGTAGAAATGTAAAATTTTGTGTAATACATATTTTTTTTAAACCATCTTGTTTTATTGTGTATCCTCAAATATTCTTTTGATATATGTAATATTTAAATGCACACATCTGACGACTATTATTTTATGTGGAAAACAAAGCTTTATATAAGTTTTATTCAACATTTTCGATTTATTTTTTTGTAAAGTCATTTTTTGTAAAATCCCTTTCGCGCTTCTAGGATATCCTGCATTGTCTATTTCATTTGAGGTACGCTAACAATAGATCTGTTCGCGTTGCTTGCACTTTTGGCATTCGGCATTTTCGCTTTTTCTCTTATCAAAGCAAAATATATATCTATCTCATTTTAAGTGCAAAAATATTTGGGTATTTCATGCAACGCGAACAGACCTAATGAGTACAATGGTAGACTGCAGAGCAACAAAGAACAGCTTCCGTGTGTCCAAATTTTACGTTTCCTCATCTATTTGAATTTCACGTCTGATTTAAATTCTTTGTTCGCCAGACGGGGTTTCAACATTTTGCTTTGCAACATATCTTATAGCGTTTTCTTTTGGCTGCATTATCGCCCACTAGTGCAACACTCAGACAGAGTACCGTGTACCATGGCTGGTGGTAAACGAACTCATTCGGCGGTAATTTTACATGGAAATTACATGTTCATGATTGGAAAATTGCCTGGAAAAATATGATTGGAAATTTATGATTATTAGAATAGTGTATAACAGCTTTAATGTGCACTGAGTTCTGCCAATAAAAAACGTTATTATATTCCGTTAGAACTAAAAATATAGACCAAACAGATACAAGAGCTCACTGAGCGCTCAGTGATCGGTCGTGGTACATTCGAATGCACCTATTGGTTCTTACCTTTAAAAAATCTAAAGACAAGAACCAATCACATTAAAGAATCACTAAGCGATTAATTTTTTCCGCTAAACGCGGTCATTCTTTCTTCTTTTAAAATTCATTTAACGCCTAATCGTTTTATTGTGCCGTATTTGAATAATTATAGATACATGAACATGTTTAATTAAACTTTAAACATTGAAAAGCACCTAATAAAGAAAGAAACGTTTATTATTACACAAGATTGTTTTTAAAGTTAGACAAGCGCCTAGTTTCAGATTATTTTTTGTACTAATTTTAGGGCGTTTTCCAACAAGGAACATAATGAATCATTAACATCCTTATTGTTTGCCAACGTTCACTATGTTACATTATCTCTTTGTTGGAAAACGTCTTTAGTCGTGATTCTAATTAAATCTTGTATTAATCAAATTAATTTTTCTTTTTTGATTACGAATTATTCGTCTCCCGTTACATGGTGGTTTGCTTCCCGCAGACCCGCCCAGCGTTAGATAATAAACGACGCCGCGCAGCACTGCGTCAAAAGGTGGTAGGTACCGATAAAGGAGGGGGGATAGAGAAGGGGAGAGAGGAGCGATAAATGGGAGAGGATATAGTAAACAAACAAGGCAATCGAATTTTCAAACATTTATCAGTTGTCACGGTCAACTGTCCTTATCGAATTCGCGCTTTTAATATTTCAGCTTTTGTCAGCCATCCCGGATGTATGTTACTAATTCTACTTTCTCGCGACTCGCATGAGCGTCAGGTAGATGTACAGATGGTAAAAGAAACACAAGGAAGAGAAAGTAGCAATTCTCTTGTTTTTTTTACAAGTTATTAAAGAACGTGATATAGTACGATACACAATGAAAAAACGTACCTAAAAATCGATTTGAGCGACCAGATTGAACTGATGAATGCTACGCTTAGCTTGGTCTTTCTCACGGAACTTCCAATTAAATCTTTCAGCTCGATCCGTTCCGACCCGCTCTCTTCATCGATTTTGCAATACCGTCTTGTTTCGCGAGTTGTGTCGTTTCGCGACGTATTCTATCGCACGGTGCGCGTCCGCTGTCTTGACGGAGCCAGGCACAGAAGCAGTCACAGAACTCACATCGACCGCACGTTACGGAGTTGGAAGGTGAGACGACGCGATGCGACAACCCTGCAATGAAGACTCGTTGAAAAGTACCGAACGCTCACGCTTTAGATGGCGTTGGCGCTACTATTCCACTGCTATTGTTGAAGAGCACTGCAATAAGGCCGGAATCAGACTACGCATTGAAGATCGAGATTGAAGATTGAAAATTAAAATTTGACCAGTGAGGACAAAGGAATTTTAGCTCTTATTGTTTTGATTGGTCAAATTTCAATCTTTCAATCTTCAATCTCAATATTCAATGCGTAGTCTGATTCCGGCTTAAGAGATAGGCATAGGTGTGCTAATTTTTGATTGGCTGGATATGGATTGGATTGGCAAAAGCCAATCAAAAATCGTGCTGGTAATGACGATAGTACAACCCGAATTTTGATATTAGCTTCTGGGACGTTTTTTCATTATCCAACTAGAAGCTATCACAACTAAGGCTATCTTCGTCTTCAGGGACGTCATAAGACGAAGAGCCTTAGTCGTGGTTGCTTCTGGTATAACGAAAAAACGTCACTGCTTTCCTACTTTTTCTGCTTTTCCGTCCTAGTTGCGAACGCGTTCTATGACTTATCGTCTTGTGAACGTCATTTTCTATCCAACTAGAAATTATGCCAGTCTCTTATTATAGTGTCTCTATCTTACCGTTAACCGTAGTCACTGTAATTGCCGCTTGGCGGATCCCGCGGATCACGCTTGGCGGATCATTGTCCTGGGATTCTTGGGTTGCTCGTGTTGTGTCCGTTTATCAGAGTCGCACCGCCTGTACAGCTCTAATAAAAATAATAATGAATAGTCCCAAATCGTCCACACAATCGCTCTAAAGAAACTTCCTCTGCCGAGAAACTCCTCGTTTCTCTCTGCATGCAATATCGTCACATTATACTATAGCGCGGCAATGGCAGATCCGTAGTAAGTTAGTAACACTTCTTCTTAATTAATGGCTCCTGCCTCCCAAAAGTCTCCGGAAGCAATGCGGCCAGATCACGTCATGGAAGTTAGTAACACGAGTGCTGATCGTATATCGTATCCCCGCTAGCTCGTATCCCCGCTCTCTTTCTCTCTTTCTCGGTGGGATGTGACGTCATTGGCGTCTAACGAGCTATTCAAAGCACTTATTGGCTACGCTTACACTGTACGACTGATAACGACGTGACCTATATCGTGACCCAAAGTAGGTCTAGTCACCAACCGTTTACACCGAAAGGGACTTAAAAATTGATTGGGTTATATTTAGTCCACGCTGGTTCGAATTAGAGCCATCTATCGTATTTTATATAAATTATTTCCATATACAGCATTGTACTCGCGAGCACTCGCGAGTGCATTAGTTGAGGAGGTTAAGGCTGCGGTCCACTGACGTTACAAACGCTTCGAAGCATTCTTCGATTAGTCAATTTGTAAAATTCTTTGTTCTGATTGGTCGCTCAAACGCTTCGAAGCGTTTGTAGCGTCAAGTGGACCGCAGCCTAAATAACAGTTGTGTTGTCAATGACATTCGAAATGTCACATTTCAAAAAATATTATATTTTTTCAAAAATTTATTTTATCAAAAAAAGAAGAAATATTCTTTCTTTGAAAATTATGCGTAAAACTTGGATTCGACAATTGCTGAAAATCGCTGCATGAACTTTTTTGCATCTTTTTTTTTTAATATTTATGTTCTTTGCACAAATCAATATTAATTAGTCTTTTCACATTTGTCTAGAAGTAAATAACAAACCGGTTTAACCTAACTAATTCAGCAAAACAGCAGTGTCCTAGCGAGCAAATGAAAAAGTTTTTTAGATCGGGTCAGTCGCGCCGAGAAAGCAGACGACCTATTTGAGGTGAGGGATGAGGGCGCTAAAAAATCCAGCCTGACCTGCAACAAGTCGGGTCAGGTATCAGCGTGCGGCCTAAATAATGTAACATAAATGGCTACGTTTACACTCTACATTTAGGCCATGGCCTATACAATAGATGTCCTTGTTTATCCTGTTGGTTAAACAAAAACATCTATCGTATAGGTCGCGGACTAAACGCACGGTGTAAATGTAGCCACTAAGATCGAATTTGGGGTGTAGGCCGCGGACTAAACGTACGGTGTAAACGTAGCCATCAAAGTACTTATTATCGAACATGTCGAAATGAATTCCGATCGGAATTTTTCCGTTTTCCATAGAAAACACAGAAATCTACGAAATAATTGAATAATTCCGATCGGAATCCATTCCGACTTTTTTCATGATCAGGCAGGGGCATCACGAGCGAGATTAACCCTTCGAAGCCATGGTGGTATTCCACGTGGTTAACCTAAACTTCAATTTTTAAGCGTTTATTTTCTAATTGACGCATTTAAATCTGGTTTTTTTATGTTTTCCTGGTGTCTTATAGCCATTCTACAATAAGCCATTAGTCATAAATGAGAAGTTAAAAGCTGAAAATTTTGACGACTGTAATTAGTCAATTTCCAGCTTCTAACTTCTGATTTATGACTAATGGCTTATTGTAGAATGCGTGTTAGAAGTAGAAGACTATTAAAAAAATAGTTTAGTAGTCCTTATTATTTATTGTAACAGTCGATAGTCGAATATATCGAAATATTGTTGCCTCTTTTCGGCGATGTCGATTGGTTCTCTCGCTGCGCTTACTTCGTGAGCAGCTGTCATCATCGCGGAGATCGCATGTGTTAGATGTATGTGGTTAATAGTTAATAGTTAATTGTAAAAATGAAAATTTTGTTACTATAGTAAATATTACAATTCATAATTCGTAATTATAGTCTCTCGGTCTTTCCTGTTAACCTATACTAACCTCCACTGGAGATTAATAAGAAATTTTATATTAAATAGAATTGTTTAAAAGTATTCAATTTAAATCTCCGAAAAAAAGCTATCGCATAGTCAGTATGAAAATAAACATATAAACATATATTTAAGATATAAACAGATATTTAACACATATTAATCCTAACTTTTTTCCTCCCCTGTTCTTCCTGTTTTATTATTTGCTTATATATTTCTGTCTTTAACAATGGCGCGCGCGAAGCGCACGCTTGTTATGTTCTAGTAAAGATAAAAAAAACCCTTTTTTTCGGAAAAATGTATGCTTCAAAAAGTTAAGGCAGGGATAAGTTAGCATGCGCGAACTATGGGTGCGTTCCAAGTTACGCATGAAACGCGCATGATGTATCGTTTTATCCTTCTTTATTATTTGGTGAGCAACAAGAATAAATGATGCATCATGCACTTCATGCGTAACTCGAAACGCACCTTATGAGTTAGGTACTCTTCCATGCTGACGTCAAAACAAATCACGTGATAAAAATTGACGAATATCAACTGTCAATTTTGATCACGTGATCTATTTTGACACTAAAAATGCACCCAGCATAAAAAATCACTTTTACGAGTTTAGCTGAGCTCACCGGTCATCGACAATCGGCTGTTCGGCTATCATAACTAAAGATCGTAGATCATCCGGTTCGCTCGGTCTTTATTTCTTACATTCCTCTACTGTGCTTCTATGCTCTCCCTTGAGACCCTGTCCTATGCCGTCCTTTTGTTGCTTCATTCATTCATTTACTACATTTTTTATGTGTAGTACGTTAAAAGCTGCAACTAACATTTCTGTGAGGAACAAATTTTTTAATTTTTCGTTTTTTGGTTTAGAACAATTCCATCCAACTATTCCATCCAAAAATGTATATTCATACTTTATATATAAAAAAATTCTTTTTTAAATTCAATTTTTTTTTATCTATAAAGCGGTATATATTGGCAAACTTTTTATGTAAATTATATCTTGATATCGTTATGAAATGCGAATGAAATCCACGAGTTTTTGTTCGTTTTTAGAGTCTTAACTTGATTTTGACTGAAATTTTGTTCCTGACATATAATTTATATTCTGAGAATAAGATTTTACTGCAAATCTAATTATTATGTAAAACTAATTCATACGAAGGCGATATGCAATGACTGCCACTGTATAATTGTAAATACTCTCCAAAACGTTTAGTTTCTTCAAGACTGGCTCCATTTTCACTTTAGATCCCACTCCAAAAATTTAAAACGTAACTTTGCCCTCGACATTTTTATGTTATTTTAATATGGTATTTAAATATATAGTTTTTCTTCATCTAACGTCAATCAAAATAAAATTTTTATTCGTATTCAAAAGTCAAATCTAATGACAATAATCGCTTGAATTTTTTAATTAAAAAAAATCACTTTAAAAAATCATTATCATGTCAAGAATTCATCACAAAGTCATCGTTAAAAGTACCTCTGATAACATCATTATGATTTTTCCTACAATGACTTCTACTTAAGGTCTTGTTATTACGACTTGTTTTCTGAAATACAAAAGTACAAAACACGAGAAGAAATACATTATATTTCTTTTAACATTGCGTTGTTTACGAAGTTCAAGGGAAAGATACGAACATCGAAAACAAATAAATGCGCTTCATCTGCAGTTATGATCAACACAGGAATTTAAGTAATTTTTCCCTTCGCCATACCTACCTTGGCTGCATTCGGAAACATCACCCGGGTACCCCCGTGTATCATCTTATCCTTATTTAACATTGGGTGAACAACAAAGATAAAATGATACACAGAGGCACTCAGGTGATATTTCCGAATGCAACCCTACTCAGGGGATAGTGATACGACTCTGATGACCATGGAAATTTGCGCTGTGACGCGCTAACGCATAGCAGTGGCGGCGAGAAGGGTGGGTCGCGCGTGAAATCCCATTGAAGATTTCACCGGGTATATTTCTACCGGTTGCTGAATCAACTGAACGTAACGTGATACCACGTCACACAGTGATACCAAGGCAGAAAAAATTATTCTTCAAAGTTTTACTTTTTAAGTCAATCGTATAAAAATAATGTTTAAGAGTTTTAAATATATCGGTGTTGATTGAATTTTTTCTTTATTTTCATAATATTTTAGAAAATAACATTAAATTTTAAATGTATTTTTTATAGTCTACATATGATAGCTGTATCCATTGTATATAATAATTCAAATTAACTTCGAATTCTTCTAAAAAAAGAAATAAATTATTATATTGTTATTGCTTTGAGAGCATCTATTTTAAAAAATAAATAAGTTTTAAATTGAAAAAGATTTCTTTGTTACCCAAGCTTCTCTAAAATGTTTTTTGTTTAGAACGAAAGGTAATCTTTCTAATTTTAAGTAATCAGGAGACACGATAGTGTCTCGGCGCTAAGCCATGCGCAACGACATATCAATATGAAAAGTCCCAGACCCCTTAAATATCTTGAAAAGTTAAGCATTTCTCAGAAATGCTTACTTTTCAAGATATTTAAGGGGTCCGGGACTTTTCGAATATCCTGTATAGCTATACATATATGCGCTATTGCGAGAAATTCGAGTTTTTATACCAAGATGTACACGACAGCATTAATTTCAGTACACTCCAGATTCATTGATTTCTCTGTAAAAGATAACCGTGATACGTTTTGCACAGAAATAAGTCTAGCTGCTGTTATAAATATTTATAAACTTGATGTATATTATTCAATAAATTACTCACTTTAAGTTAAATAAAGAATTAGAAGTCTAGAATATCTACAATAGAAAAGATGTATAATTTTCTCCGAACGCATGCATTCTGGCACGTACGTATGTATAACTCGACCGATTCTACTGGCAGCAAAATTTAAAGCGCTCCGGATTCGCAAGGGGATCGGCATACAACAGGAAAGAAATGCGAACCTCTCTTGGGATAAAGTGTGACCAAAGTTACTTGGGTTACTTGTATCGAACACATCCGCGCTGCGGGTGACTACTCTGCGGTGGGTCTATTATTTTTAGTTTGCTTCCCGTTTTTACAAGAATGAAAATGTATATAGCTATAGGTACAGGCGTACTATTATAGAAATAAGAAAAAAGTACTCAAACATATTTCTAAAATCCAGGAAATTCTATATGGATCTACCACTTAAAAAAAGCAGGATTTCCGCA